AGAAGTCCGTGGCCGCAATGAACGTAGATACATACAGCCAGCTAAGCGATCACCTTCCTCGCCAGTGCCCATGTCGCCTGAAGAGTTGGCCCAGTATGAAATCGCAGGCTCTGAAAAGCTCGAGGAACCCGGAAAGAAGTCACGCTCTCGTGCTAGAAGCTCAAGCAAGATGAGAAATACAGGATCGCGCAGTCGTCAACGCTCTTCTAGCAAACATGCGGGGAATCGCGCTGGGAAAGAGGCATCATCCCGTGGCCGCAGTGTTGACCGTCAAGGATCTACCATGAGATCGCCATCCTCGCCGCTTCCCATGTCACTACCTATGACGTTGCCCAGCCTTGACCCTGCCAAACCGAATGAGACAGATGATCCGCTTCGCATTGTTGCCGGAAATCGCGAACGACTTCGCTCGCAGCACAGAAGTGCTAGTCGCCGTCGTGCAGAGAGAGGAACAAGTTCTAGAAGAGAGGGGTCGACAGAGTCCAGACATCGACCTTCCTACAGCCAACCGGAGATTCGACATATTCCGGAGCCAGAATTACCCACCCAACCAGCAGGGCTTGAATTGCTGAGCAGCAAGACCTTTGGCCAGGAAGACACTTCCGTTCCTATGAACAGCCAGGACATATACGATGTCGACGCTGCCGCCGCCGCCTATGAGGCCCAAGATGTCGTGTCTCCCATTGTATCTCCAACGACTCCCTTTGTTAGCCTGGCCGAGAGAAAGAGGAGAGAGTTGGCGGCGGCAGAACTAGAAGCACGCCGGCTCTCACTTGCTCGCAATCCTTCTGCTCCCAATATCCCTTTCCCGGGTGATCTTCAGTCCGCTAGAAGCCCAGTCTCTGTTCGAAGTCCTATAGAAAGCCCTCCTCCATTCTCGGGAAACTCCTACTTCCCTCGAGCTCCGTCTCGAAATAACATCCCTCCAAGCAAGAACTCGCCAGAATACCAAAGCGGATCCGACTCCAGCTCTGGTCGCTCTGGTCCTCCTCTTGGACTCCCAGCGACACCACGAGCAATGAGGCACCCCAAATACGGTGGCAATGGCATTGAGCAAGAGCGTCCACCTTCTGTACCTGCGCTTCCCACGGATAGCTATGGCGCAATCCTCCTCTCCGATGCACGATATCAAGGCGAAGCAGAAAGAATCGGACGGTCAATGTCAGTCCCTATGCCAGAAGGTCAATTCAAGAATTCTGCACCGGTGCCAACAGACATCCCAATGCACCCACGCTTCAACCCCAACCTTCCTCGAAGCCGTTCGAACAGCCGTAGCCGCAACATGGGTCATCGACGCACGAGCTCGGGTGGGTATATATCCGGTACATCGCCGAGCGTCACTGTGAGCATCGAGGGCACAATCGAGGCCGCAATGCAGAGGAGACCATCCGCGCATTATGTCGAGACCATCCCGCCTCCACCTCCACCTCCGATCCTCCCAGAGCTCCAACATCTCAACACACCCCCTCCCCCACCTCCGATCCCTGGACACAACGACCCTGTCTCGCCTCGTGATTCCTCTGCCACCATCGACGTTGCGATTGACAATGTAGACATGGGCCGCTTACTCCCCCGTGCAATGACCGCCGCACCTACATTGAATGCAAACGAGGCCCGTCAAAGTATCGGCCGGCGCATGTCATTCGATCACCGGCGCAATCGCAGCTCGAATGAGAGCTTCACCAACAAGCTGCGCAGTCTAACCCGCATGCGCAGTAACAGCCGAAGCGTGGAACCGTGGACAACCCACCAATACGAGAACGAAATGCCGTACGAAAGCATGCAATCGCATACCCTGGCACCTGGACAGAGTTACGGCATCTGATTGAATGGCCCTACCCTACCATTGCCACCTTTGATGACACTTGCCTGATTTTTGACACCTGGCACCTTACCGCATATGCTTTCTGTTTTGCTTTGTATTCTTCTCTGTTTCGGCTTTAGTAGCGTTATAACATCATGTCCTGTCCTCTCATCTCTTTCTCCTCTTGGTCATTTATACCCACCCTCGCTATCTAGTTATTTTGTGTTATCTATTTTCCTTCGTCGAGCTCGAGTTCTCATTAAGCAAATTGTTTCCCCGGTATTTGGATCACGTCATGGTAGGGGTCTTATTACTTTTCTCGAAATTTTCTCATCGCCTTTGATTCCCTACGTGACAGCCAGTCTTCTGGTTAAGGGAAGCTCGTGTCAATAAGAACCGAGTCGGAGCACAGTATCAGCAGCCCGGCGCGCGATATGGATGCCAGTGCCCAGGTGCAAAATGCAAACAGAACTCGAGACCCCTTGACTAAACAATCAAGGTGATCATTAATTCACTTGGTAGTCGGACCAAGAGACAACCTGACAGAATCAACAGCAGAGGTTCAAATAGAAGAACAACGCAAGTTTTGAGTGGTGAAGCTGTTATGACGGGATGAAGTTGAGTCGAGTTGAGTCAAGTTGAGCCTTAGAGGCCGGGGATTACGTTGTGGAGTTGTCTAAGCCAGGGCCCAGAGAACCATATATCTAGAGTGGGCAATAAAAGTAGCCAGGACCAACAATTGTATTTTCATTCCGTCCTCCTATAAAACAATTTTGTCTTCCGTAAAGTCTGTAAGGGTCATCTAGATATTTTGGGGGCTGAAGCTGTTTAAACAACAGTCTCCTTGCAGGCAATGCCGTATTTCTCCTAAAAATGATTGTTAGCAAATTGGGTTCCCTAAAAAAACAAGTTTGTAGTTCAATGGCTTACCTTAAGCTCCTTGATGAGAGGGTTGTTGATCTTGCCGTTCATGGGGGCGAGAACTCCCTTCTCGGAGAGGGTGCCGTTCAGGACCTGCTTGACAGCGACCGCGCAGGGAACACCGACTGTATATCATTAGTAAACATTCAAGAGCGTAATTCATAGTGAGCACTTACCAAGCTTGGCCATGGCGGAGTAGCCGTTGGGGTCCAGGCTGCCGTACTCGACGAGAGTGGACAGGCGGGTCTCCTTGGAGCCGTCCTTGTTCTCAACCTCGAACTTGTGTTGCAGGCTTTGGGTATGTTAGCGTTATTTGTTTTTCTGGGGCCTCGGGGTTTCGATCTTACATGACGATATCACGCTCGCCCTCGCCGTACTGCATCTTCTTCTCGAGAGTGGCGCAAATGGTGTCCAGAGGGTTGCCACGGGGGATGGTCTAAGAAGTAGTGTTAGCGAAGTACTCAAAGTCTCGCCATGGTGGAATAGTTCGGCGGGGCAAAATAGCTATTTGAAATGCTTACCTGCTCATCCGAGAAGGTTCCGAGCCAGCGTAGACCACCGATGATGTGCTTCTTCTGGGTCTCGTCCTTGAAGGCGGTCTTGGCGGAGATAGCCTTGACCAGTGTCTCCTCATCGGAGGCGGAAGCACCAAGCTGCTTCTGCATGACGTCCTTCCAGGCACCGGCCTGCTTGAAGATATCCTGCTCAACGTCGTCGAGGAAGCCAATGTCGACAAGGACCTTGACGAACTCGGGGAAACCGGCATAGCGGAGAGTACCACTAGATGGATGTCAGACATGGGCCAGGAAGCAGAAGGATATGTTATATGTACCGGACGATAGTCTGAGCCTCGGGGATGTTGTAGCGCTCCTTGTAGGGGGTAGAATCTCTGTTGGGGTACGCGACAGTGGCGAAACCGGGGTAGATGTGGTAAGGCTTGGCGGTGGCCATCAGATCTATGAGAAGCCTTAGTGTATAGATTCCCTGAAATGAGGCCATAGAGGCATCTTACCGGGGCCAGCAACATCGACGATCTTGCCGTCCTGGTAGAAGCGAGCAGCGTTGCGCAGGGCAAGCAGGACACCACGGGGAGACCTGGATCCATATATTGTTAGCCTCATATCTCGATGCTGAATCCTCGCAAGTTTCTTACCAGGAGAACTTGTATCCGAGAGGGTTTCCAGAGCTCTCGGGGGCGGGGAGACCACCACAGTATGACAGGAAAGAAATGATCTTTCCACCCTCCTGGTGGACCTCCTCAATGGTCTTGACGGCGTCTGGACATAATTAGTATTGGATCGAGTCGGTTCATGCTAGGATTCAATACTTACACAGGTGGTCGACACCGGGGTCAACACCAATCTCGTTCATGACAGTGATACCGGCCTTCTTGCACTCCTCATCAAGCTCCAGCATGGCAGGGCTGACATAGCTAGTGGTGACGACGTGCTTCTTGGTGCGGATGGCGGCCTTGATGACGACAGCGTGGAAAGCTGGATAGGTTGTTAGCTCGGCCCGGGAGAAATGGTTGTAAATTCGGGTTTCAAGGACGCACTGTAGGGAATCAAGGAGATGACAAGGTCGTGCTTGGCGAGCTCAGCATCGAGGGCCTTCTCGTCACTGACGTCGAGGGAGATGGGGGTAGCACCCTTGACACCGGCGGAGAGGGCCTTGGCGGACTCGAGGGTTCTGCAGGCTAGTATATTGTCAGCGCATTGACACGGGATGTGTATAAACTCAAATCCATGATCGATTGCATACCAACAGTCACAGCAATGCCGGACTCAGTGAGAATGTCGAGGGTGGGCCGGGTGACGAACCCCGCGCCAAGCATCAATACCCTATATCATGTTGTTAGTAGGGGTCTTCAAATGGTCCAATAGAGCTAGAATGGGTCAGCCATACTTCTGGGCAGCCATTGTGAGTATATTGGATCAATTGAAAGAAATTGACTTGAAATCCGGGATCGGAGGGGAATGTTGAAGCAAAAGAACAGCCTCCGAGTCATCGACCCCACCACTGGCAATATATGCTGGGGCCTCTCCGAGCTCGCTTCTCGATTACTCATTCTGCCCCGCGTGCGGGGTCCATTAGGGGCAGGCGGTGGGGAACAACCGGCCCGGGGTATATCTACCGGTACTATGTAGTAGGTATACTGCACTAAATCATATGGAATAGACTTGGATATAGTGAGTGGAATGCGCTCAATTGTCATGAGAAAATGTATATAGATCAATGTTATAGTATACACCTATGCATGTAGAGAAGTATGCAATCACCAGTTACGACCGCGAGACGGTCCCTCGCTCGACGCGTTTCGCTCGGCATCCATCATCTTGTTGAAGTCGGCCTGGGCCGCGTCCTTCTCGCGCCTTCGATCATAGTCATATCGATCCTGGTCAATAGGAAGGGAATCATTTGTCGACTCGGTGCCACTCTGGGCTTGTGATTGGCCCCATTGACGAGGTGCTACTGGTCGGGAGCCCTGTGTCGAGTTCTGTTGTCGTATACGATCCCATGCAGATCCCGTGGACACCCCAGTCATGCTGGTATTCCGGTATTCCGGTGCAGTGGGGCTTGCATCGTCCTCATCGCTAGAGCCGAAAAAGTCCAACTTGGAGTCTGGTTGAGAAGACCCGTTGCCTGAGTTTTGCAAGGAGCCATATGAAGGCTGAGGGGCAGAAACATCCTGGCCATTTTGACTCGTACCGTAGACCAATTCACTCTCGGATGAGGCCGCCGATGATGAGGCACCATCATATTGAGACTGGCCCTGTTCTTCAACTTGGGCGGCTCTAACATTAAAGCCCATTTGCTGTAAAATTTGACCGGTGAAACCGGGGTCGCGGTTTTGATGAAGCCTGCGGTGATCATTTGCAAGTGCAACCCTTCTCCTTTGAATATCTTCCGGTGTCGCTTTAACAAAGGGTTCAGCATATGCCTGCATACGCGGGTCTTGCATATCTGAAGCATATCTAAACGCCCCAAAAGTTCGTGTGACTAAACCGCTTGAAAAGAGGATAAAAAGCATCATGAAGGATTTTTGAACGAGCATTTCCCTGAAACCTGGCGGGTCCGCGATTCGAAACCGTTTCAGTCCAGCGAGTAGGCTCGTAGGCGTGGGTTTCTTGGGATAATAAGGCGATCTGCGTGCTGCCCAAAAGAGATATGACGAGTTGGCAAAATAAGCTATTGGGAAGGCCAATTCTTTGTTGTAAAGTCCTCGAGATGTTCCTGCGGTAAAGACATCGAATTCGTCTTGCGTCGGGAAGCGACCCGAACGAGTCCACCAGCTCTCAACATCATTAACTAGCGCCGCTGCAACATTAATTTTCCACATCGTGGTACCCCAGAAGCCGAGATACATTGTCAAAGGGTCGGGCTTCACAATAAGCTCTGGCCGCAGGCGCAGCTGAAGGTTATGAAGGAGAGCAGGGTTCTCGGTGAATTGGGGGTCGGGGTTTGTTGTGAGTCCCCCTAAGGTCCCCAGTTCCCTCGGGGAAAGCATCTTCGAGGACCATGACGGTGTTTTTGAGAGGTGAATGATGGGGGCTTTAGCGGAGGTGGAAAGTTGAGAGGTCTGAAGCTCTCCCGAAGTGACGTTATGAGATTAGTCAGCGGGTATTAGTCAGGATTCTTGTCGGCAGTTAAAAGTACTTATACAAAAACAAGGAGTTAATGTGTCTTGCACTGCGTCAATAAGAAATGTCACAGATACTGGTAGTACAGTCTGGTACGACAGCTCTAGCTATCTCAGCAAAAGACTCAAGAGGCCCATAACAGATTCATACTCGGATAATGAAAATAAGGTACTAGGATCCCCGACTTGAGAAAGTGGTCTATCAGCATCCAACCCACTAGTAGCTACTGAGATATTGAATACAACACGAAGAGAAAATTAAAGAATATATTAAAATAGTGGCTCGATCATAATCAGTCTACCACTTCTCAATATAGGGCCGCAGATCCAGCTCAAAAGCAAAGGTCGTCCGCGGCTGAGTATGCAAGTACCAATACGAATCCGCAATCTAGTAGATCTTGTCAGCTTCCATGGAGAAACGCCGTATTGCTCGATTCAGACTTACAGCATCAGGACTCAGCTTAGCATCTTCATGCTCGAAAACCCAAGCCTTGGTGCGTGGGATATCAATAACACCGTCAATGATGGCATGCGAGACATGGACTCCCTGGGGTCCGAACTCCCGCGCAAGCGACTGCGCCAATGCTCGGAGGGCAAATTTGCCAGTGGCAAAGGCTGCAAAATTAGCTGATCCCTTCACGCTGGCTGTAGCGCCGGTGAAAATTAAGGTTGGCGGGTGGGTTAGCTTTTCCTTCGCTTCGAGGAATAGAGGTAGAGCACGCTGTGCGATGTAGAATGCGCCCTTTCTATTGAAACAGTTAATTCTGTTGACCAACGCGCCTTGAAGTACTTTGATAGATCGACACAGAGGATAACACTCACGCCTGCGCCTCAAATCCTAGAGAGAACTCCTCCTCTGTCAGTTCCAGAAATGGCTTTCTGGCAAATCCACCGCCGGAATTAAAGATTGTAGCAGCAAGAGGGGAGTCTGGGAATTTCTTCGCAATTTCATCAAATGCCGAATTAACGCTCTTAGCGTCCGCGACGTCGGTGCTAATGCCGATAGCTTGACCGCCGCTATTATTGATCTCTTGCACAGTCGGCTCGAAATTTTCGGGGTTCCGAGATAGAAGGACCACTGAATATTCTTTGGCGAAGCGTCGGGCAATGGATGCACCCTGTACGTTCTGTATTAGATGGGTAGACTGGAAGAGATTAGATGTCATGGAAGCATACGGTGCCTGGGCCAACGCCAGCGATTACTGCAAGAGCCTTTGATGCCATGTTGAAGATTGTTTCTGAAGTGAAATAGTTCCTAAAGTCAACTTGAATGTTTCCCTGGGAGCGGGGGGGTTTAAATAGAATGATGAGTTCGGGGTGTCTTCCCCGACGCTTAGAAATGCAGCGGGGGATTGATCATCACTTCGGTGAATGATACCATCCGTGGGGAATGGGACTGGTATCACGCTATAACCTCGGGATATTGATGATAATATCAACCAAATACTTCCTGCATGACATGATTTCAATACCTCATACCTCAATGCCTACCCTAATTGTGTTAGAATAGTTATACTAGGGTAATTATAGTTCTTCAACTATGGAGTGGATCTCAGTGATGCCTGAGGCAGCTATCGCGCGATAAGCTCCGGATTTTTCCAGCTTCATCGCATTACCTTTCACGGTTACAACTGAACTTGACCTTGTACACAGACAGTATACAATCATGGACCCTCCCGACCCTCTCCTGAGCGAGCTCTGCTCAATATGGTAATTTACACCCGTACTTTCACCCCCAAACCAACCACACAATATTCTAACCCAACCCGAAACAGCCACATCAATCCCCCCAAATACCGCTGTCCACGCTGCTCAACCCGAACCTGCTCTCTACCCTGCACAAGACGCCACAAACTCTGGTCCCAATGCTCCGGCGTCCGCGACCCAGCCGCCTACCTCAAGCGCAGCGAACTAGCCACCCCCTCCGCCTTCGACCGGGACTTTAATTTCATTTCCGGCATTGAGCGCTCGCTCGAGCGCGCTGAGCGCGATGCTGAGAATCGTGGGATCGAGCTTGGACAGGCGGCTGCCGAGTCTGCTGATGCGGGCGGTGGCGAACAGGCGGCGAGTACTGGCACTGGCGCTGTCACTGGGCAAAAGAGAAAGCACCCTGGTGGTGGTTTGGTGAAGGGTGAGGCGGGCTTCTTGCGTGGTGCGGAGGCTAGTGGTGTGAGGGTTGTCAGGGCGCCTAGGGGGATGTCGAGGAATAAGGCGAATGGGTCGAGGTGGCATCCCAAGTAAGTTGTTCTATACTCTTTGATCTCTTGCGGGATTCCGGGGAACTAATCGGTGGCCGTGCTACTAGGCATAAATGTTTGAGTTGGTCTGTTGAGTGGATCTCTGCATCTGGCGAGAAGATTGTTAGGAATTGTCTTGAGACGGGCATTCTTTCCGAGGCTTATAATCGTGCTTTTACGCTGCCCAAGGAGGATAAAGCTGGGAAAGAGGAAAAGGGAGAGCAAAAAGAAGGTACTGCTGCGAGTCTGGATCAGTCCAATCTATCCTCGACCTCAGAGGCTGCTCCAACCACCGATGCCACCGCCGATGCCTCGAAGGAACAACTACCCGCGCCGTCATCGAAAATAGATACAATCGAAGAATCTACAGAGACAGCAGAAGAAAAATCGCCGAAGTTACTGATCGCCCCGCATCGTGACGTTTACTTCTACATCCACCGCCCACAAACGAAGACAAAGAAGCCAGTCTTGGCTCCCCTGCCCCCATCAGCAACGCTAGCCTCTGTACTACGCGGACGTATGGTTCTAGAATTCCCGACTATCTACGCGCTGCCTGACTCAGCGGAAAATCTGGGCGCTGAGAATGAAGACGGGCGGTTCATTCTAGAAGAGGAGTATCTACGGACCGCGAGTCCCGAAGAGATTAGCGGCAAGTCCGGGGAGCTGGAGCTTGAGGATACGGGCGCTGAGCAAGATGCGGAATCAGAGCTACAGAATTTGGATGAGAAGAAGGTGATGGAGGTCCTGACGCAGGATCTTTTCCAGCCGCTTCCTGAGGGAACATCATGATTACGGATGGTTCCTTAAACTTTTCACGCCAAGCTACATACAGGCGATTGATACATTATCAAAGAAGGGATATCCAATGTACATTAACTATATTCAGCATCGATTTGGTCAGTCATATACGTAGACGGGCAAGAATAATAACTATGGGTGATCTTATCTATATCCAAGTCATTGGATAGTTCAGTCGTTCGCGTCTGCAACTTCGCTCTTTACAACGGCCGGACTCTCTGGCAGAGAAGGCATCGATAAGGCATCGACTGCCTAGTCGGAATTAAAGGGTACGAATAGGCAGGCATCTCGAAGTCTTTCGCGAGGCAGCGATTAGTCGTTTATAGCGAGACGAAGCGCGGCCCGATGGGCATACAGTGCGAACGAATGTTAGACGGTTTCAAGTTCACTCGGACGAGGGTACAGCCTGTACCATCGAGGAGTTAATCAGATTGATCAGAATGATCGAAATAAACAAAAACACCCAAACAGATGCACCCGGAAAAGAGGAAGGATGCCGAGGGGTATTGAACTAATTCACAAATATTCACAGAAAACATGAATGCCAAATATAACACCATGGGGTATGCAAGTGCCGCTATGCAATTCAAAAAATAAACCCATCAAATCAAATTGATAACACCAAGACAAATGCAATGATCAAATGCAAAAGATACTCAAAAAGGTATGTGTTGAGGACAACGCAAGCCTTAAGTGAACAATCGCTTGACGCGAATGCTATAGATATCCTGTAGTAAACCACAAAATATTCACGAGCCCTTTGGTAGGCTTGGTTTAGCCTATCCTAAAGACAGACAAGAGACTTTTACTTCCTCTAAATGACCAAGTTTGACCAAGGTTCTGATTCCAAGAGGTTGCTGCCAACTCTCTGAGAACAGTCCCGAAGGTCTCGCAAGGCCATTCAATCGGTAGTAATGACAAAACTTGTATGTATGTATCCTCACCGGACACAAAAGCTTGTAGGCATGAACAATCGCCTGCGCGAATGCATGGTATTCCGTGAAATGGTACACGGAATCGAATTGCCCTTGAAGGGCTGGCTTTTCGCAACACGAAAAAACCGGGTATCTTCCAACCCTGGCGGACGAACTGTCCGCGCTGGACGCCAGTCTAGCAGAGCAGAAGGAGCGGACTCCAATCAGTTGCGAAAGGCAGTTCCAGAGGCTGAGAGAGATTTCAATATCCTGGGATAAGATGGGGGTATATCTAGAACCAATCTAGGAGCAATCATTCCGAAGAGGCAGTGCTCGAAGTGTCGGCGACAGAGCCATTCTCAGGGTATTCTTGCTCAGGTGCCTTGGCGGCGACCGAAGCCCTCATCGAGACCCGCATGGCCTCGGATGAGGATATCGGCTGAGTGGGCACAGTGTTTGGGATAGTAGGAATGTCCTGAGCCGTTGGCTCAGGAGCACTAGTCTTCTCAACCCGGTGACTGGCCTTTGAATCGGTTGGAGACATTGCTGCCTTTTCAGATCCGCTAGGCTTCATCTTTAACCGGCCCTGTTCAAGGGCGCGGAGGACGTTGCCAATATCTTGCGGATCGATGGATCGGAGTTTGCTCATGGCATCGTCCGAAACATCAGAGAACGGGTTCCATCCTAGCTTGTCCATCTCTTCCCCGGAGGTCGAAGACTTCGAAGCAATAGATGGACCGGTAATCAGTCGGTGGAGGAAGGTGTCCGACACGCTGGGACGACGTGGGATCTTCACCGGCTTAGACTTGGAGCTCGTGCTTGTCGAAGTGACGTCGTCTTGTTGACGCTTCAAAGGACGAGCAATGGGGGCATGGCCCGTAGGGCCATCGCCCACCTCATTTCGAATCTTATAGTATATTAAACCAAGAGTGGCAGCTAGGGCCTGGTGAGCAGCTTCGGGGAAGTGGCGAACCGCTTCCTCGCGAGTCAAGTTGTTTGACCCGTCACTTGAACTGCTGGAGTCACTGTCATCGGCAAAAAGATCGGTGGCATTCATCCGACACCAGTCCTGGTAACCACCCAGCTGGTAGAACTCAGCCAGTTCAACCAATCGATGAACTATACATTTATCATTGTTAGAATGGAGAAGGGGGACATATCTATACTTTTTAAACGCTTACCTCGACTGCGTTTCTTCAGGCACCAAAACCTCCACACGGTACGTGGGAAGTACTTGGGCCATTCGAGGGAACCATCATCAAGGATGACGGGCACAGGGTTGATGGGGGCATGAATGGTGTGGGCCAGCGAGTTGAAGCGAACCCGTTCCGAATGCCGCATTCGAGATTCCATTGAGTCCATGCGCATGTGGAGACTGGTTTCCATCGCGTGCATTTGGCGTGTAAGTTTATGTTCAATGTTGATAAGATCCGTACGAAGTTGGTTTGCAGTCGACTGGAGCTTGCTGATATCGATTCGGGAAGCACAAATATCCGATCTCATTTGGTCAGCATCGATCTGAAGCTGCTCCACACTCTTTTGCAACCGATCGACATCTCCACGCAGGAACACAGTCTCGGTACCGGACTGGCCGATACTAGACTTGAGTTGGAAGATGCTTGTCTTGATCTGGTCAACATCGGAGCGCAGAGCCACCACATTCAGGTCGATACGGTGAGAGATGATGCGTTGGTTCTCGAATTCACGGCGAATGTGCTCATCCTCGCGGTTGCGGCGGTCGACGTAGCCCTCCTTGGTGAGTACGTTAGAGCGCAGCTCGAGCACACGGGAGTCCAGTTGGTTCATGCGGTCATGGAGATGGGTGAGAGATAGTTCGTTGCGGGGCGGTGTAGTTTCGCGTCGAACAGATAGGCGAGGGCTTGACATGGAGAGAGAGGCGCTGGAGGTACAGGAGAGACTCCTTTCCAGAGTGGTCATGGAGGACATTTCGAAAATTTCGGCAGAATGCGGCGGTCTATATGAGCATAATGTATATGATGGTAATGGTGATGATAGTATATGATCGTAGTGTGTCGCGAGAGCGATTTCTAGACAGTGCAATCGTCCATTGTGCCGGAAATGTGGTGGGTGGATGATTCTGGGGGGACGATGGGTAGAAAAGGGCGGGCGACAAAGAGAAGGGGGTCGCACACAGCCTTTAGCACCGTCAGCCGGTCGGGTCAGATTGTCTGCCACGCATCATTACTCACCCACCATCGCCCCCCAACTTCTGATTTAAAATAATTCCATTTGCTCATTGACTTGAGTCATATTTATTATCCTTTATTTTCAATTTTTCTCAATCTTTTCGAGCAATTCAAAGGTAGAAAACCACAATGAAGATAAAATACCAAGAGTGACCAGGACCATACCGTAGCCCTGCGCATGGCTTGGCGTGCATTAGTGCGACGCATAGCCCGTAAAAGGTATTTCATGGTGGGGCGCCTCACTATTTGATTGGTGACTGCTGGCTGCCTAGTGCTCGCCACCATCCTCTAGGATCGGCCGATTGGTGCAACACTTGCATCGAAGTGCAGCAGCTTGCAGGTCACTATGCGAGGGCCGAGCGCATCCGGCGTGATGATGACACCGCCGTATCCGTATTACCTTCCATTCAACCATCCTAGGATCCCATGCTATCACTGATCAAAATAGACATGAACAGTCTTCAAGTTTGAGGATATTGGAGAAAAAGAATAATTTAAATTTAAAATAAAATATAGAATACCTAGGTACTTACTAGGAATCAACCTAGCCTATGGGTTGTTAGTCACATTGAGTCACGGGGGCTCGTGCCAAGATTGCATAACAGCCCAATCCGGCAATCATGATGCCCTAACTCGACGAGATTATTTAATAGTCACCCGATCTCACAACGTGGACACACTCTCTTTGATGGACTAAACTCTTTGGATTTCGCAATACAAGATACTCTCGTCATATATCAATTCAAGTTATATTTTGCAATGTTCATACTGGGTGAGGCAAGGTTTCTCGATACCTAGATATACAACTTTGAACTCACTTAGATCCCAGGTATCGCTAGCATAGGTATAGAGCAGGTACTAGTAGCCGCCGGATGAATGTGAGCGTGATATTTTATCATTAATTCAAATGTCTATATATACTAGGATCATCTAGGTACCTAAGACCTTGCCTAAGAAATCTGGCAATGACCAACTCATCCCATAGTCCATCTCGGCACTTCGAGATCGCAACTTCCTCACTCACCAGCGTAACTACCCCAACTCAACAGTCATACCAATAGTGACTTGACGTTAAGGCTTCAAAGATGGCCCTCATCCACCCTTGCCAATCTTTCACTTTCCTATCTTCATGCCCAACCGATTCACCATGAAGTCGGGCCGTCTTTCATCAGGCATTTTGCCACTTGCCTCACTCTCACTCCTCTCGTATGGCACACTCGTCTTGTCCAATCTAGATCCTCTCACAAACACAACATCAACCAATCCTTCTAGCAAGTTACTTCATGATTGCGATTGCTTCACCATCTCCGGGCCAGATCCGGGCTACTATCAACACTACAAGCTTTGGGACTTCCGCACGGTCTCGTTCGATAGACGAATCGATTCGATACTACCGCCACCTGGTGTCGGTGACTCAGACGACGAGGAATTTGCAGATGAGGATGATACCGAGTCTTTCGCCCACGAGGGAAATGGCCAATCCATGTGGTTCTTCGAAACGACTTTCGACAAGGATTGGATGAGCCAGGAATGGGACCGCCCAGGAAACTCCAGAGCCCCAGTGGACATGATCAACTCCAAGCGAAATGTCTTCTTCACCAGAAACTACGAGCTGGACGATCCCCATGCAACATACCTCGCTCTCCGCACCACACGCCACGAGCACTATACCTCCACCGCAGAGATTGAGACCCGAGTCCGCAACATCTACCGCTGCTCTCTTCGCGTCAGACTTCGCATCTTGCCAGCAAGTATCTCTATTTCGTCGCCATCCAATGTATCAAACGACAGTTCCTGGCAACCTTCCATTCCAGCCCTCAACAATGTGCCGGGGTTGGTTGCCAACAGCACGACCGCGAGCACAGGGGAAAGACCTCATCCCGGTGCCTGCGTCGGCATCTTCACATACCATGCGCGAAACTGCGAGTCAGATATTGAAATCCTAACCAGCGATCCCTCCTACCGCGTCCGATACGCAAATCAACCCGACTACGACCCCGTCACCGACGAAATGATCCCCGGCGCAAGCACAGTCGCCGACCTACCCGTCCCTGGACCCATTGGTCTACGCATCGACTCGACTGGCTCAACGATGCCTCACGCTGGTGGGTCGACGACAGCATCCAAGACTCCAAAACATACCGGGTCCCTAATCTGCAAAGCAGGCTGGTCATCAACCTCTGGAGTGACGGCAGCGTCTGGACCGGCGACATGGCGCTGGGCGATAGCATTCTCCTCGGAATCGAATATATCGAGCTTGCCTATAATCGGTCCTCGGATGGGTCGTGGGGAATCGATATCCCGCCCTCGCAGCGACATGGTGGGCACCAGAAGCCGAATGATAGAGTGTCTATTTCGGATCTTGAGGAGCTGGAGGAAGAATCGTGGGAGCCGGATACGGATTTGGTCATTGGTAGCGCGAAGAAGAAAAAGAAGAAGTGCAAGAAGGGTCGCAAGGGCATAAAGTGTAGGAAGAAGCTGGTCGGTCACCCTAGCCCTAAGCCCAAGAACCCGTCGCATCATGGTCCAATGGAGCCGGCTTGTCGACGCCCCTGTTATATCGATGGCGAGGACTTCAGACATCATGTTCTTGGTTGAGGTGGTTATCTTTACCTATCTTCTGTCTCTGTTTCAATGAGAGATGCCCTGGTGTGTTGGAGACTGTATTCTTATAGACAGACTAGCTGAACACTTGAAATGCCGAATTCGAGGCTTTAGTTCACTATAAAAAAAGTGTTGTATTTCTCTGCTCGGAACCCTATGTAGCCAGTCGGTAATGTTTGCGCCGCAAGCGTGGAAAGGATTTAGATATAAATTTGAAGAGAATCGGAATGATTTAAGAATAGAGTGAAGGTAAGCCAGGCAGTGGCTCGAGGGATTGAAGAAGGGAAATATTAAAAATGCCAATGGAGGCGCCGTTTGCACCTCTTGGACCGTCAACAAGATGGGGTATCATTTAAATTCATTCAAGGCATCAAAAGTCAATGAAAAGGGGTAAAGAAGCAGCCGAACCAAACCCATGACCGTCCGATCCTGTATTTTCTAATTCACCATGCGCGCCGAAGTATGTTTTTAAGTAGAAGCCATAAACGCCAGACACGAGGTCTTGATGAGAGATAAAAAGGAGATTTCCTTTGGTCGAAAGTAATCACCTTTTCTGAGTATTTTATGATGGGAGGGTAGAGGTTGGGGTGATCTGGTGTTCAAAGTAGAGTGTTCCCCATCCTATCAACAGGACAGAAGTCACCATGAAGACCACCGTTCATAAGTTCCGCGACGATCTTCTTCCGCAGATTCTGGGTGTCGCTAGGTCCAAAGGCAGTTGGCTCGATTTCAAGCGCAATGGCCTTTGCGTTTGTGAGGAGGAACACACCGCAGTCACTGCCATTATCTTGTTGGGAAGATACGGATGGAAGAACGTTCCACTCGTCGTCGTCATATTTGGCGCCGAGTTCTCCTCGGAGCCACTCCTTGATGTTTTTGACCTGTCGCGCGCCTTGTCGACCCATCCGGTCAAGGGAGTCGAAGTACTCGATCGCACGGTCTGCTGGTCGCACAACTAGGAGAGTCCAATGTGAGGACTCGTGGACGGGGATAAACACGGTCTGTACATCTAAGAGGCCCTCGCCGCCGATTTTGGCGCGGTTCGCCCAGCGCCGTACACCTTGGTAACCTTTATCTCGTAGGGTTGTATAGAAGAATGTGTTGAACGCGTGGAAACGAGGTCGTTCATTTCCAGCGTTGCCGGTTGATTGGCGGAGGTATTGAACGAGAACTGTTAGGTAAGAGTTTATGATCTCGTCATTCAGCCACGATAATGTCTTGAGACAGGTTGCAATATCCCTGGGGTACAGGTCGTCTCCAGATGGAGTTCTTGCAACTGCACAGCCTGATGAGCTTCTCATGGCATCGGAGACCCGATTTAACCACTCGTAGGAAAGTTGGCGCACGGCTGGTCCTTGCGGTATGATTCGGTGAGGTCGGAGTTGATCTCGCTCCAACGCTCTCCGTTCCCTTTCGTGCGCTTCCCATTGCGATGAGTAGATCGACGCGATACGATTTGGTGGTATTGGTTTCTTCTCCCGGGTGAATAATTGAACCGCCGAGACTGGCCGGCCGAATGGCAGTCTTTCATATGCCATCGACCGCCGCATCCAGGGGTCATCGATATCCACGTCATCTTGGAGAGCTGGTTTAGGAATCGCTTTTGCGGGAGCAGACGTTGGCGGTACAACACGTTTCGGTGATGGCGTAAAGCTTGGTCGCGCTGGATGTAGATGTGATCCCAGTGGCGTGTGAAGGAATGGAAGGTTTCTGGGGGTTTCTAATCCCAGCCGTTCCAGCCGTTCCGTTGGAATGTCATCGTTGGAGGGAGTACTCGGCCGTTGCGGTTGTGGCACCTGCGCCGAAGGTGTTATTGACGGTGATGGAGGGAACGCCCCTGGCATCCATGAGCTGGTATCTTCAGCCCTGTGCGTATCTGAGACGGCGCCAGTTAGTATTCGCGATGCGAGAAGCTCTTCCGGTGTTCTTGTCGATACCTCTTAAATCTTGGGTTGACCGTTGTGACCTAGTCCCTTCGCAAGAATCATCGGTTCCTGTCGTGGAGCCAGCATCAAAGACTGGCTCCGATTTCTCTCGCCATAGGAGTTTTTTGACCGTTGTTAAGAACCCCATATTGTGTGTTTTGTAATCTGGGGTAAGGTGAATTGGATGACGAGGTTCGCTAGGTGAGGCGCGCGAGTGGGTTGGTTGAAAGAGGGGTGGTTAAGATGAATAAATCGGATGGTTGAGAGAATTGAGATATGAGACTGGAAGACAAGAACAAGCATCAGCGCCCATCATTGAGAGGGACTGCTCAGCGAGTTAGTGGCATTGTCACGGAAGTTGAAGAACGGACGGAGCGCGACCTCCATTCCCCATAATGCATCATTATGTCAGCAGTTTTTTTGGCGATCATTGGGTCCTGCAGCCACGCGTGATGAAATCCATTTTAGTACTCCGTACACTATCAAAGGTTCAATAGACTTGGCGTGCTATCTTTCCATTTTATTTTACAGAGTTCCCTCATTCCAAAATCGTTGTTTGGTTTTGATACAGCTATGAAGGCATAAGGATACAAGATCGCGCTCACATATGTACAGCGTCGGTCCGAACTACATCTCTCTCCGAAAGGCGCGCTTCCAGCACAGCCCGCTGAGCTGGAACAGACCCAGCAAGCTCAAGGACTCGCGAGAAAAAAAAATATCGGTTCACGCCATGCAATTAATTCGGGACACCGAGCCCACACAGCTCGAATACTAGGGGCGCGGTATTAATCACGACCCAGGGGATTCCTATATAGCATGGTTAGAGCGAGATGTTGAACAATGAGATCCAGCTACACATACCTGCATATACAACCAGCTTGGTCACAACCTCCACGTCATATCGCACGCGGGTCTTCTTGATTTGAGAGAAGACCTCCTTCTCATCCGTTCGGGACGTATTGAACTCGGGGGGTGGGAGTGGCGACGATCGGGGGATATTGTTATCTTCCTCCACAGCGGTCGAGCCGGGGCTACCCCTGCCCATCATGCCCTCGTACTGATCCAACTTGGAAGCCTTCCTGGCTAGAAGAGGAGTTCCATTGGGCTTGACACTCGAATCAGTAGGAGATTCGCGGCTGCCCCCAGATAAGCTTTCACGTCGGCGCTTCTCCCTATATGCCAGCGTCTCATATGCATCGGCTTCAGACTGTGGACCGATAGAGATGGCACGACGCCGAGGGTGGCGAATCGTGGACATCATGGACGGGATATCGGAGAAGTTGGGAAGGACGTCGTTGTCTTTCAGATTAGATGGAACCGTTGTATAGCGGCTGCGCACTGAGGTTAGAATCTGCTTGTATGACTGGGTATTAAGGGAATACTCACGAAGCAGTGGTGAAAAATCGCCGGGGTAGGAGGAGACCGAGTTTCTCTAAGCTGCGAAAGACAGGCGGAAGAATGCGAAGCAAGGTAGGCTTTGTGATCTCTCTCCAAGCAAAAACACACAAAACTCCAGCAACGAGACGAAGCACTGTTTTGGCGATTCCAATTGTCTCGTAATCGTAAGGAATAGTGCCAGGTAGAGGTTTATCCCAGGCAAGGCTAGACCCAGTGAAATACCAGGATCCAACATCCACGCCAAGCGTGACGCCAGCAAAAGCGACACTGTCATCATAACAAGGACAATCATCTACCGGCTCCGGGTGAATGCGAACAAGAACCAGAATTACTATTGGGATGACGAGAATCTCTTTCAGATTTGCCGCGAGGATATAGTCATCGAATGCGGGGCCCAGACTGAACTGCGCCAAGCCAATCAATACACCCAAGAAGCAACCCACGACAACATCCAACATTCCATGCATGCCACAATACAATCGACCCAGAACGATCGATGTGAGGTAGAGGTATGTGACAATCTGAAGGATCAAGCTCGTTTGCGCGCTCACTGTCGACTCGGGGGGAGTTAAGAAGTAAGATGGCGTAAACTGCTACCGAGACAGCATTCGTTGAATGTGTCGAGGGGAATCCGTATTCAAGAGCAGCAGATCCGGAATGGGTAATGCGCTGGAGGGGTGGGGAGAGCGGCCGGGGAAGACATAGCAAGTCTTTGATGAAGCCGCTGAAGAAAACACCGGCGGCCAGGATGTGTACAAGTCTGCGCAAATATATATCAGTAAAACATGATTGACGCTCCAGATATGGCCGATGACCCTCAGCGACAACCTACCCACGACCTAAGCTAGTATGGCCACACCAGAAGAGGAAGGGCAAAAAGACCATGAAAAACGTGTGGGTACCGAGGTTCGCGGTAAACGCAAAGTACGAGTCGAGTGTCGGCGTACGGACTTTCTCCTGGGCCCATGCAAGATAAGGAGTCTCATATCGGATCAATGGTAGTAGCTTCTGTCGAGGCCAGTAGCGCCAGAGGGGTAGTCGGTTTGAATCTATCGGGAGTCGCAAGCAGAGCTTAGATTAGCGATGATCGTAGCGGGGTGGGGATTGAAGATCAGGAACTAGTATGGGCAATGCGTGCGAGAGCGCAGGAAGAACTCACAGTGATTGAGGCTCTTGAGCCCAGCATCGGGCTGGTCCTTAACGGGGATGCCCATCGTGTGCTATTGATCCGGGTTGCGATTGGAGGGTCCTCCATATATGGACAGACCGCTGCCTGCCGCTCGATTCGAAAAGGTGAAACTCAGCAGAAGAACATAAGGAGCGGTTGAAAGTTGGATTGTGAAATGAATATAGGATGGCCTTAGGATGTGATCGAGGATCGAGGGTCGAAGGTCGAGGACTCGGCAAGATGGATCGAAGATCGGGGGATCCCAGCTGGAGATGCTCGCGGCCGCGGCTCTTGGCCCCCTGACGTGCCATGTGTGGGCTTAGTCATGCCCGTTGAGCAACCAAGAGAGTACTAGTAATGGGGATGGATATTTAATTCTTATTTGGAAAGATGGGGTTTAATAAAAAAAAATCAAAAGTATGGTTTCTGATAGAATATTTTAAGGATAGCAACTTTAATGGCGTGGTTGAGACTCAACTTCAAGTTGAATTGGTCCTACTACTAGTATTATATTTAGGTAGGGTTATACTACTATAGATCTTGTTACTTACACTAGTAGTATTCTATACTCAAAGAGGGGCCATAATAAAACGGCTGCCAAGGTTGGAACATAAATATAGTAGCCTTGGAATACTAGAGTAATACCAATAGTATCCAACGAGGGTACCTGGTACTTATCCACCATTTGCGCAAAACTTGGTGGTATCCCAACTTAAATCACAAGGAACAAGACTCATCTTCTCCGCTTCCAAGGCATCGCCTGGTACTTCCCAATACCCTTCCAAAGGCTATGGATATCATCGCTTATAATCACTCATCATCCAGCCCCACCAATCTGGGAGTATATCATATCACATGACGCGGCCGCCCCGAGGCAGACAGCGATCAGGTTTCCTGGAGAGCTGAACGGTGGGGATGTTGGGGAGGGGCATTGTGTGGACATCAGTGGAGGCTAGACGAAAAAAGAAACCGGATCGCAGTCAGAGATCGAATCAAATTGAAACTGACAGGCACAAGCCTAGCGAATCGAGGGCCGCTCCGCCCTGGCGTCATCGAGGGACGGCCGTTGCTATGGCAGCCGATGACTTCCAACAGGTAAACACGGGTCTCGCCCGGACGATTTGACCCTCCCAGCTTGGATGTCGATCAAGATCTAAAATCGATACACCACCCTGCTCTTCTTTCTTTTTCATCTCTCATCTCGTTCTCTCCCCAAAGACAGCTCACATCCATTCAGCCAACCCCCCCACCACCAAAACAGACTTCAGCCGGTTGCCGTCATACTCGACCACGACCCGCATTACTGCAACTACAAGAACAAGAACAAGGGGGTTCCATTCCAACCTGCCATCCGCACCATGAGCTCCATGTATGACGACCAGTACTATGCGGCTTCGCGACGTCGCTCTATTGCAACTCCTCCTCCTCCATCCATGTCCCCTCATCACAGCCGAACCCGCAGCCACAGCGTGCGAGTGAGCAACGGCACCGCCAGCACCCACACCAGCTTCTCCAGTGCTCAAATGTCCGAAGCCACAAATATCACCCAACCACCATCATACTCAAAAAAGTTTGTTGTCGTCGGTGATGGTGGTTGCGGCAAAACTTGCCTGTTGATCAGTTACTCGCAAGGTTACTTTCCTGAGGTATGTTCCTTTTACTTCTTTCTATACTTCCTCTATACTCCATGATCCTTTTTTGTGATCCATGGTTGAGGCGCGGGGCGATGTACTAAGACTAGTGCAGAAATATGTCCCCACCGTGTTCGAAAACTATATCACCCAGACCACCCACCGACAGTCAGGGAAGACTGTCGAGTTAGCATTGTGGGATACCGCCGGCCAGGAGGAGTATGACCGTCTCCGTCCACTATCCTATCCCGAAACCGACCTTCTATTTGTGTGCTTTGCCGTCGACTGCCCCGCATCACTGGAAAATGTTGTAGACAAGGTGAGCTATCAACAGTTTTCTGCCATCTCATGCTTGATTTCAATTCTCTAACATGAGTACTACTAGTGGTACCCCGAGGTTTTGCATTTCTGCCCGACAACCCCTATTATTCTGGTCGGTCTCAAGTCAGATCTCCGCGGCAAGCGAACCTGCATTGAACTCCTCAAGACGCAAGGCCTGACCCCCATCACACCGGAGCAGGGCCGCGGCGTAGCTCAGCGCATGGGCGCGACCTATGTCGAGTGCAGTAGTAAGGAGATGCGCGGTGTTGACGAAGTCTTTGCCAAGGCAGTAGACACTGTTATCAACATCGAGGAGCAAGGCTACACAGCCCAAAAATCCTCGCACAACCGCACAAATAGCAAGCCTTCCGCCGGCGGGGGACGACCAGGAAAGAAGATCAAGAAGCGGACTTGCAAGATCTTGTAAATTCATGCCATCCCATCTCGCCTGTACCTCCATTTATGACCGACTCTTTCTTCATTCCCTTCTCTCACGCCACCCTGGTCCGATATGATAAAGCCTGGTTGCTTCATCGGCCGTGCTTTCTACCTGCTCTGCGGATGTGCCGGGTCACCGCGCCGCAAGCCGGACAAAGCTGGACATGAACTGCAAAAAATTTCCTTCCCTTGGAGTCGGGGGACGCTGCGCGCTCTCTCGACCGATCTGTTTCTTCTACCGGCGGCTTTCTGAACTTTCTCCATCCTTGCCTTGTTGATCGATGACTTGTTTGCCTTTTACTTCTTTTTTTCTTTTCCTTTTCCCTTTTCTCCCATTCTGTGTATTTTCATCTCATGACCCTTGTTCCTTTTCTCCTGTTGGCTCTCATGACCTGGGTCTTCGCCCTTTGTTGGCATGCATAGGACTGGTGTTCTCGCTTATGTTACCTGATACGAATTTAGCAATACTGCCTTTGCATTTCATACTGAAACATCTTTCGTAGCCACGCGTGCATGTACGTAGAACATCGTAGATTTGCTCTTAACTGATATAATGCTATGTGAAGTGGTATCTCAAGTAAAACATAATCAAACCCAACGCCAAAGGACGACCAAATCCAGTCAACTTCACCGAAGCCGTCACTGGTTGGCCATAGAATTTTCTTCATCTTCTTCTTGCTTATGTTGTCCGCCAGAGCTGCCATGTCCCGCGCTCTCTCCGCTGACCTTTCGTTTCCCTTGACCAGCCTCCTCAAGATCCTCCTCCTGCCGCCCCATAAAGTTCTCGAACTGCGACCAGAGGGCTTCCACGGAGCCAAATTCATTACCAACCTGGCGGAGTTAGCGATTGAATGCGATGCGGTGTTCCATAGTGAAAACGAGGCGGGTCACGTACTGTAATGATGCTCTCGAGGTTTCGGTTCAACCGGTTCATGTTCTGGAGAACTTGCTCCATACCCTAGTCCCGAGATTAGAGTCCCACGCAAAAAAATCTAGAGAATTTACAACCCCGATGAAGACATGCACTCACCACGGCAATTTCCCGAACCAATTCCTCGCGTTGTTGCTCAAAGACCGTTGGGGACGCGCTGCGTCTGCCGCCTGGGGTTTCGGAGATCCAGGCCATAGTGTAGCTCGAGCACAAAGAATTTAACGGATTGAAAGATGCAGGTGACTTTCTAACCGGTAGTGAAAGACCTCGGTGGGCTTTCTAACAGGAGAATGGTGATGCGTGCGTAGGCTGTGTGAGGGGCCGGGTTGGGTTGGGTGGTGGACGCCGGGCAACGGGGGACTAGGACTCCTCAACAAGACTGCGGGATTGCGGGCCGAAAATAGAGCTTTGTGGTGTCGTTTCACGGTAGTACTCGTTCTGCAGCTGCTGTGTCTTGCTGGAAGTTGTCTTTGCGAGTGTTTTGGGGAGAAGTTGTGGTGGGGGCACTGGGTATCCGATAAGAGACCCGATTGGTGACGCGTTTGCGGCGCGCACCTGGGCAGCGGGGAGTGAAGAGTACGAGCCCCTGGGAGATGGATGGTATTGGACTTCCATGCATCAATATTATTGTTGCGGAAATGGTTCAAGTTTTGAAGGGACATACAGGATAGAAAATTGAACAAGATGAGTTTCTCGCTTCCTTTCCACAATCCCGTACTGCGGCGCTCCATATACTGGGAACCTTAGTAGCCTCCAGTAAGTGTACTCGGCTACCTTGAACTTAAGGATTTGAAGACCGAATAGCTATTTGAGATGTATATCTAGGTAGCTATGTTCAAGCTCCGCTAACTTTTCATCTGTCCCTAATTTACGTCTAAGCTGTGCTAATCTTTGATATTTATTAAAATGTGATCTTTGTTGATGTGGGATCTCTATTGATGCATGATCCCTGCTTTATTAACGCGTAATCTTTCAAATTATTGATGAATATATGATCTAGGTAGGTAAAATACCTAGATAATATAGTATTCAGGGTATATTTCTGTATAGATCGTCTATCTTTTAAGATATGGTGAAAATAGTACTGTACCTAGGTATTCATGAAAATATAGCAGTGGAACTAATGGTTACTGGAAAGGAAGCAGCGTTCACCACCCATGCTACTTCAACTTGTTGCTTTTCTTCAACTACCACTGAGATCATATTCCACCATTGCCCTACGACTTGCAACTCTGCAATGAGGATTATCAGATCGTTCATTTCCCGTTTCTCGATGTTGCGAAGCCTGGAGTCGTTTCCCATAACTCCTCCCGGCCCACTTTTACCACCCCGGGGGACACTGGTGGATGAAGAGAACTCGCCATTTTATGATTCCAAGTCCTCCTACCCAGTTAAGCCTGAAGATATATTCACCGATCGTTATCAAGCCTTTGTTCCACATGAAGACGGTCGAGTGTGTGAAACCGCAGAGGAATACTTCGGTGGCCCATTCCTCGACGAAAATGGTATTTTTATTGGACTTTCTATTTTGAATAATTACTCCTCGACCGACAAATCACTCCAGGCCATTTTCTCTACAAAGACTTGATCCCAATCGCGAATTGAATGGCACGGTTTCATTCCTTTTGGGAGAGGAGAAGGAGGAATTTCTGGATCTCGTGAAGGGAATGCTTGTCTGGAGCCCAAGTGAGAGAAAATCTGCAGGCGAGCTGACAGAGCATCATTTCCTTAAACCTTGGAACTAAAGCAAAAAAGCATCTAACTTCTGCGAGCGTACGATCTGCCATCCTAGTAGTAATGATACCGCCTATCCGCTGTGCCTCGGCTCAAGGCGTTCAGTAATCTACGTTCAGTAATCCGTGTTCAGTAATCTAGATTATTGGTCTTGACAAAACCATACCGAAATTTGAACCTGTTAGATTTTGACAGTATTCATAAAGTTGAAAGTACTAAATGAGAGGGGGTTCACGCCTTTTCCGAGGCCTGTGATCGATTTTTGATTCGGTTAAGACGCCAGTCGTACCTTCAAGTATCAATCTTCAAGTTTGGCTGTAAACTCATACCTCATATTCTTCAATAATAGTCGCCATTTTCTCAAGCGATCGAAAAAAACACCCACAAATCACAATCGCAAGATGGTTGGCGGTACTCGAACTCTCGTTCTTCCTGATACCTACGTCAATGCACCTGGTAGCCCTATCCGCATTTCTAATTCCCCAGACTCAGCATGTGGAGTTACACCTATTCAAGTTGTAGCCTTGAACAGACCCGACAAACTAAATGCAATAACAAGAGGCATGATCGATACTCTTATTACGTTCTTCACGACAGTTGATGTGGATGATCGAGTCAAAGTCGTCATCCTAACAGGTGCAGGCAGAGTATTCAGCGCCGGAATCGACCTGAACGGAGACTTCAGCCAGGCGAAGAACGAATTGCGGCCCAGCGAGATGCGGGATCCAGGAGGCACACTGGCGCTTTCCATGTTCAATTGCACGAAGCCCATTATAGTGGCGTACAATGGCCTCTCCGTCGGCATCGGCATGACGTCCACTCTAGCGGCGGGGATTCGGTACTTATCTATGCTATCATCACCTTTCCGTGATTTCGAAAACTAACTCAAACCCAGAATTGCACCGCGTAATGCAGAATTTGGATTCCCCTTTTCAAGGATCGGCCTTACGATGGAGTCATCTAGTTCCTTTTTCCTCCCGCGTATGGTTGGATATAGCAATGCTACATACTTGCTAACGACCGGAAAACGATATCCCGCGCATTCGCATGTCCTCCACGGTATCTTCGCGGAGCTTCTTCCGGAACCTGAGGATGTTTTCCCCGGGCAGTTGAACTTGCCCAAGACATTCTGTCTAACGTTAGCACCATGGCAGCTCATGTAAACCGACAGCTTATTTGGCGGAATCCTGGTTCTGCGGAAGGCGCACACTTGGTTGACAGTCCTCTTCTATACGACATGTTTGGTGGAAGGTAACTTGAAAATCCCCGCCCAATGTAGACTATTTGTCGTCGTGGTTCTGACTTTTACTGACTCGCTCAGGGATCATCTTGAATTCAAAAGGTCTTTCTTTGAGAAACGTCAGCCGGAATTCACAGATGACTTGTCAAAGGATGCGCCTCGGATATATCCCTGGTGGAGCGAGGTTTCGGTGGAGACCAGACCTACGGCTCACAGGGCCCCTGGCAGTAAACTCTGAAGATGCTGGGACCGAGGACCAAAGTTGGTACTAGTTGTGTCCGGGTGTCTTCCTTGCCCTCCTTGGGAGGAAGATGGGACTGTACCTTGTAGGTAACTTCAACATGGCTATAGTTGTTCATGGTCCGAAGCAACAAGACTGAATCAAGTACGAGACATACTACACAATTCTGTACACTACTTAATGAAATAAGTATCATGGGCTAAGATAATATGAGTCATGATCTAGTGATGAAGGCTAACTAATCTAATGGAATAGAATGGACTCTAACCCATCAAAGTGAAACCGAGGCCGCCAAGAAGGTAAGTGGACTATAATCCAACAACAAAACAAAGAGATGTGAGCCGCAGCCAGGCCTAAGCCTTCTGACCCCAATAGGTGGTTATTTGAAGATCTGAAAAGCGAATCAGAGAGGAGCATTGTACGTGCAACCTTTGCACCCCTCTCTGTGGAACCAGGAATGTCCTACTCTCATGTTCCTAGGATGTTTACTGATAAAAGGGGCTGTAAAGCCATCGGAATTTTTCAGATTCCATGGCTGCACGTCGACTCACGGACGAAATGATCGGCAGTCCCAATTATCAAGATGCCGTGGTACGGTGTATCCTGGGTCTAGACGCAACTTATAGTTTGCTAGCCGAAGAAATGTTCCAGAACGACGTAGAGGAAAATCTCATTAGGCTGATAGCCGAGGATCCCAAGATCAATTTTGCTAAGACATTTGTTGATGGGGTGCTTGGAAATGGCAATGGGGGGAATGGGGGGGCAATGGCGACAACTGGGGGGGCCCTGAGAGGGGCGCGGTAGCACGGGCGTAATTGGTAATTGGGGGAGATGGAACACTTCGAAAGAACCCCTCACCCCAATCCAAAACCCGTCAAATAAGAATAGAATAAGAGTGGCGGTTTGGCGGTTTGACGCAGCCACCAGAACGCCTTAATTTCAGTCCCAGGGACAATTCCCACCAGATCCGAGCCGACCGGTCTGGCCAGTCCCCGTCGAGATAGCGTCGCTAGTGTCTCCATCCAACCCCAAGACCAGTTCGCGACGGTCGCACCCTGTGCCACGACTGGGCCGAGGACCATGCCAGGGTCCACCGCGTACCTGAAGAGCCATGGACCAGCAAATTTGAGATCCAACGCTTTCCCAAGGGCCCAGCCCAGGGCCTGGTTTCAGACCCAGCAGGTACGGAAATGCTTGAGAGACACAAACAATCCCTCTCTGTCACAAAGTACGGTCTGCCTCGTTTCTTTGTGGTCGAATCAATTTCGGTTCGCGTAGCGGCTTCGGACAGGTTGGAATTTGCCCGGCGAGATGCTACCTCGGGGCGACGAAGTGGAGATTGGATCATGTCCAGTAGGGCTCGTGTTCAACATGTGAGCGAAAACTGAATCAAACACCGTGGCTAGTCCAGTCTAGTCTGGTCCATTGAATGCGATTTTTTGGGGAGGTGGAGTCATACTCAATAATATGATGGAGTAGTCATAATCGTAGTATTCATGGTAATAACAATAGCAATAATAATACTCATCATCGTCATTTTCATCATCAATTGGGATATGGATTTCTATCCATTGCAACCAGTTATTCCCATGTAGTGAAAAGAAAACAAGAGAATAGAAGAAGTAATTGCAAAAGAAAAAAATGTCTCATCACATCGTAATTCCAAGCCGGGCAGGGAAGGCAAGCCAATCTCCTGCGTTCGGCGTGTTCATGTCCTTGCCAACACGACTAGCATCATCAAACCGGTCGAGGATGCAACCAGCTCCTGCAACCGATTGTATCGGGGCTTTTCCACCCGAGTCCAATCGAGGGAAATGAGGACCCGTTTCCTTCTCCATGTGCACTACATGCGCATGGGTCCCGTTACTCCGTTTTACTCCTGTATTCTTTCGGGGGAAAAAAAGAAAGAAAATACCCCAGGATCATGGATATTCGTTATCGTGTCATTCGTATATGCTCCAATGTGGCGGGGCGAAGAGGAGAGGAGAAGGGGGAGGGGGTGAGGGTGAGAGTAGAGTGTTTAGGTTGTATAGTGTTGGTGCGGTGTGGAGTGGAGGGTTAAGAGTTTCGTCGAGGCTGTGCGAGCATGTTGCTGAATCTCTTCCATCGCTGTGTCGGCGAGGTAGAGTCGACGCGTCCCAGTTGTGCTTTATCCATGGGCTTAGAGGAGGATGTGGTTGAGGAGCGTGGGCGGCTGATGGTCGCCTCGTGATCGGCGAGGACATCCTCGAGCCGGACATCCGAATCGGACATGCGCAGGTGCGAGTCCTTGGGATCAAGGATCTCGATGAACTTGGAAGGAGTATCGCGCATCTTGAATGAGGGTGGATGTTTTTGTTTTTTCTTCTTCCCGAACCACAAACAGGAGTAGTAGGAAATGGCGGAAAGGTATGTAGATAGTATGTGTTTATACTCGATGGATGAGACCACGAATGTCGCAGGTAAGCGCGGAGCTGTGCAGCACGTTTCACTCTGAGGAGGGCAAGCGAGAGGATTGGTTGAGTTCAAGTTCAGGAGAGAGGGGGAGAGAGGGAGATCTTTTAAAATAAAAGAAATCGAACAAATTCGAAAAAGATTCTAGGAGATTAGTTCCGAGTTTGGGGAAATGCGGGTAGTCCACGGTTTTTCATTTCCATGAGGAAGTGGAGACTGCAGATCAGGGGACAATTGGCTGACGGTCTTCTTTTTTTGCCTTTTTCCCTGAGTATTCCCTACTGCGTAATTTATTGACATTGGTTCTCGTTTATTGATTTTAAATTTTGTACTCCGTACTCCGTTGTATCTCTCAGTATGCCGTAGTACTCCGCACTGCATGCTAATCCTCGGATGCCTATGAAGTAAAGATCTATTCTTTCCCTTTGAGTAACATTTTCATACCAAAAACTAACTACTAGTACTACAAATTTCATATTCACCTCATACCTATGGCAGTTGCCTTTCCTGATAGCTCAGACTGATGTATCATGCACCTACGCACCAAAGGATGAACAAACCCCACAGCTCAGGCGCACGCAGATTTTCCTCATTTGGCACATGCAGACCTGCTGATCAACACGGTGGTGGATGGTCAGTGGTGGCCCAGCGTAAAGAAGCCAGGATCAGCAGAAACCCTCCACTCGAACGGTGTGGTGGCGTCTGAGTTCTGGCCACTGACCGTTAGGGATGCAGAACCCGCGGGCAGTCATGGTTCGTCCGATCAGCGTGGATCCTGAGTGGAGGGGCACTTGCGCGGCCCTGGTCAACTGAGCATGCGGAGAGTTTCGTCTGTTGGTTTGTTGGATTTTCTGTGTGCCCTGAACACCGCAACTTCTGCACGGAGGGGACCGGCGAAAGGGAAGGAAAAAAAAGTAGAGCCCCCCCCCCCCCCCTCCCCCTTCCCCTTGTAACGAAGCGCTAAGAGAATCGCCAGGTCTCGGTCGAACTCTTCCTTGAATCTGGTGCTCGACTAGTGTTTGACCTAGCGCGCGATGACCTCGAGGGCATCATGAATGGAGCGTAATGGACCCCCTTTCCATTCGCCTGTTCCACTCTGCTCTGCGGGATGGTAGGGTTTTCGCTATGACGTCGGGGGGCTCCCGATCTTATCAGCCCATAGGGCATTGAATATCGATGTCAGTACTTTTGTGTTTGCCTCGCTATAAAAAGAAATGCAATGGAGATTGAAAAATGCCACTTCCTCGCCATTCAAATTGCGTGCCCTTCCCCAGGTGGGTTCCAATCGTGGAGAATCATTCCATCGCTCCGCAGCGATAGACGCGAGCCCCCGTCAGCCTACGTAGTCAGATTCGCCCCCGGATCGCACTGCCACCGAGCTGACTGCCCGATGGAGAGCTGATGGCAGTAAAATGTGAGATGTGAGATTGCGAGATGATAGGCAACACTTCTCTTACTGACTCGGAAGCGACATGGTGGCCGATATATCCGAAACCAGGGCGACAAATCGCTAAGGCCTGCAATTGACAACTTGATGGCATAATTTGGCACTAGATGATACTAGTACTAATCAGCCCTGACTCGCAACCCTGCATCGGCGATTACCTTGAATGACCCGAGGCTGCTCAATGAAATTTGTAATTGGTGCAAAATAATTGCTGATGAGCTTTGCGCAGCATAAACATGGGATATTGCCAGCATCCTACTCTAGCCGAGGCTGTTGCTCACATCAGATTTCCACGATTATGATTTGCCCCATTTGGACCAGTAATAAACAATATGGAAATAACAAGCACTCAAGAGATGCACAATGGCCGAATGGAGAATTTCTTTGTACAGTCCATGGCCATCCGAGTTGAGCACGGTACATACAAGTACATACAAAGTACCTAGCAGGCTACCCATCTACGACACTCAACTCAAAAAATGCCAGATTCCACCTAGATAGAAAGCTAAAACATCTACCCGCCACATAATAGCCGCTCTAACTTCCATCACAACCACTGGCATACAAATGCTACTATATCTTCAGCCACATAATCCGGGCACATGGAATTCCGCATATGAGCTACGATGCACCAACTTGAACTTGAACACGCGAGAGTGCAGCATGAATGAAGGCGATAAGCCATTGATATTCAACACATACTTAGTACTCAACAATCTTCCACGCCCTCACTTAATTGTGTATCTTTGATAGTCGCTCCCTAATCCTCTTCCAGAAATCGGTGAGAGGCCACGCTGTACATACTAGTAATACTAATAGAAATAGAAAATCCCACCAGGAGCTTGAAGCTCCGTCCCCCACTCAGCCCGGGGCCATGACGTTTTGGCCCTCTAACTTGAAAGGTCATTCTGTTGGTCACTTGAAGCTTCATGCCGATCTATCTCCCACTCCCCCTCCTCACAGCTATAAAAAGAAAATGAGCTCTGTGGATATCTCCAGAGCTGTACCCACGCATTCACATCAGATTCAATTGTATTGAACAAAGCCTGCGGGGTAAGGCGTATGTAGACCTTCACTGGCACTAAGTGCAAACTCACTCCTTCGCCCTGTGGAGCTATTAGTGGTACTGTACATGGACATCTAGTATTCGCCTCCCTCCCAACATGGATCTGTCGCACGGCCTTCCACCATGTTAATTCCCAGCGGGACGATCAGATGATCGACAATATCGGATTCCCGCTACAAGCATTTCCGAGAACGAAGAGGTGGTGGTTCGTGCGGTGGGGTTGGCTTGGAGTAAATGCTCCTATCCAATAGACGCATGCCTTGCAGATAATCCCTAGCGGGATGGTCCCCTTCTATCTAACGTTCAAGTTGCCACAAATCTACCATGTGTTGCGTGTTCGATCATTCGTCACCCGGTTGTCGGAGGATGGCTTGATCACGATGAACAGTATGAGCAGTCGCAGGATTCATCCGCCATATAGACATACGTACTCCGGGATAGTTAATTAGGGAGCCAGGCAGTGTACATACATCCCCATGGAATACCCGCCGTACGGGCACCTGATAGGCATCGACTGATGGAATTAATGACGCGGCGTCTACGCTGAACCGTACCCAGAAAGTCAAGAGTCGAAAAAAGTGTAGTGTATTGATTTTGGCCAGTACCACAAGGTAGCCATGCAATAATATCGCACTGGAAGAACCATCAAAACGCCTCGTGAATCAAAAAAAAGAACAAGCAAACACATGGACAAAAATCCGCCCGGAGGACCAATCGGTGAGTAGTCGTAATGGCCCCGGTAGTCCATATCCTTATTTCCCCGTGTCTTGCAGCGGGAATCGATCAACTCGGCCATTCCCCAACGTGATGAAGTCGGGCTTTGGATATTGAGGAAAGAAAGGCCTGGTTCGTCCAGGACCAGATCACTCTCACAAGCGGGCTGGGACCCGCGGAGTACTGTGCATCGGTCGGTACTCGCACTCGCACTTGATGGCTTTCAATTATTTTAATCCGAGGTCTGTCATTTCGACGTCTGACGCCGTGCCCATCCAGAGGATGTTGTTACACCTGTATGTCGTTGTTAGCACTTTTTCCCAGACGCGAAACTCCTGACTGGATAGCAACCAGGACAGAGTAAATGCGTACCGAATAAGAACCAAGCCCAAAGAACCAGTGTGCTTTCCGTCAATGTGTTCCTCCGTATCCCGCAGCAGAACGTTCATGTAGGAATCGATGCTCTCGAGGGTACCCTTGTACTCGGTTTGGCCCCACTTCAGGCGGATGAGGACCTCAGTGCCGACTCTGCAATGAAGATAAATGTTAGCAATTTGACGGGTGGGAGATGGGGGGGGCTAGATAGTGGCGTCGGGTTGTGCTGGGTTGCTCAATGGGGACGAGGGGGGTTGCTCGATGGAATCGGGAGGGAAGACGCGTACCTAGCCTGGAGGAACGGCCGGGGGTTGACGGGTTGCAACTGTAACGTAAAGATTAGTTGTAGGTCTTTTCAATGCCGTAGATGAAGATCTCGGTCGCTTTGAATGGGCGCATCGCGGAGCTTGATGCAGCGGCTGGGGTAGACATACACTCATTGTGATGGTTGTATGGGTGGTCTTGCGCTAGAGCACAGACAATGGATGAAGGGGGATTGATGTGAGGTGAGGAGCTTAGCTATGAAGCTTCTTTCCTTTGGGTCTTGTCGTTGGCGCGCGAGAACTGGAGGTTGGCGGAGTCGACAGCACCGCGAAAATGTGAGCTGGTCGGGATGTCGGGTAAGCCAATAGTATGGGAGTATTCCTCACCGCCTCTGGTGTGAGTTAGCGACAAGGTAAGTTACTACTGGGGATACTACTTCATCAGCACAATTGCTTCTGTCTGCCCAGGTGACCTTTAATTTTAAATATGAGAAAGAGAAAGATCAATTTCCATCAACTTCTGTTTTTCATTGTTTAATTTAGCTTAATATGGCTTCGTGTCATCATCATATCGCTTAACTCTCCATCTCTACACCGCACGCCAGGCTTATCGGCCTCCTGGTAATAATACAACGAAAGGACCATAGGAACGACACGTAAAGAAATTATTTGTTGAGAAAGAGGCCACAAAGATCCATTCCTTTGCACCCAAGCGCGGCTCGTCGGCGCTAGTCAGTCACCCATACAGCAGGATGCCTCCATGCTCATTTATGCCCGACCAACCGACCAAGTGATATCCTTGATGCTGACTTCCTCACTGGTCTTCTCATCGTAGTCATACCATTCACCCTCATCGAGCTCAATATCAGAGAATGTGGTGGGGGACTCAACGCCCTTGGCTTCCCATTTCCCCTAGATAAAAGTAAGAATTTTTGAACCAGCCACGTTATAAAGGGTTTACTCACCTCGGCGGGCTTGAACTCGATGAACTCCAGACCACGGCAGTCCATCTCAATGATCTTCTGGCCGGTCTTCTTCTCCTGGAGCTCGTAGGTATTGGGACCAGAGATGATGGAAGCAGAATGGGTTTTCTGCGGATTGCAATGTCAGCTCTTTGCTCACTATCTCCCCCTAGAGTAGAATAATAGAGACAAGAGACACCAAGTAGATAGCTTGGCCCGTGGACGGTATCAAATCTCTTGACGGGTGGAATCACGTACGGTGCAGAGACGGCATTTCCAGACAAAGTTTGCCTCACCCCGGCTACCGGGGATCTCGTGTTCCTCCTGTAGAAGAAAAGTTAGCATATTACCCATCAACGCGGATTTCTTTGCTAGGGTCACGTACGAAGCGGTTGAAGCCCACCCAGTTAGGGTGAATCTCGTGGCAAGATGTGCATTTCACCCGGAAGGTGTAGTAGTAGGGGTCTTCCTCGGTGTCAATGGGCCGAAGAGAAGTAACACTACCAGAAATGGTCAGATGGAGTATATTATCAACGATTCTTAGGGCAAGGGCGGAGTTCAATCCTCCCACGCAGCCTGCATCAAAAATTGTTGCACGATGCGGGGAGCTTTGAGAGATATTTAAAAAATGGGTGTGGGCGCTATGAGCGGACTTACCCTTCCAACTCGGCTGTTAGTACAAGAGATAGCATCTTGGATATTTTGGTTTGAGGAGATCGGGGTTGGATGGGTCTTAGAGGTTCCTTGAAGGTAATGTTGAAGAGTGCCGTCAGGATGCGGATGCGATGCGATGCGGGGTGGAGACAAAAAATAGATCAGGTCTTGGCATGTGACCACCCAGCTGGTTTTTACGCAATGTTGAACGGCATACTGACTGCTATCTGGGGAAATATCGTGTCATGATGAAAGAAAAAAGTCAATGCAAGTTATACAGAAAGTCTAAGGCTACCTAGGTACTAGAGCGTTCGGTTTCTGTAAAGATATGTGGTTAAACCCACTGCCGTTCCATTTACGCCATCTTTGATTGTTTGTCCAATGAGAGACACCCTTGCTCTATACAATGTCGACAGCAGTATCATAATAGCTGAGGAGTGGACTTCTACTTGAACTTGTAAGCCGGCAGAGTCCAAAATAGTTGTTTATTACCTTCTACTAACATAAGATACGTATGAGCGCACATTTTTAAAGAACAGATACAGCGGAGTCCGGCTGAACAACAAGAAGGACATGCCGATCACCAAAATGCTGGCTGAAATACCCGCAGATATGCCTGGCCACCAAGATATGGCATTTTTCTGGGTCTGCCCCTTGTTGAAATCATATTCTGCCCAGTCGCCCAATATCTGGCGTACTGTCCGAGAGAGCACTAGATCCCTCTGCTCGACCGCCTCGTTGACGGGTTTCAGAATCAAGACATTCACATTCCCATCCTTGGTTCTATCACCCGTTGTTACTTCGGGCAGTAGAATGGATCTCACAGCGCGTACGTTCTCTTCTATGTCATTGATTGAACAAATTCCAAAGATCGTGTGAACAGAAATGCCATTTTGCGATGCTCGGGTTGCTCTCGCTACAGAGAATCGCAACGCAAGGCCCGCCAGAGTCGTGTCTTGCGTTTCAGCCCAGTCGGAGGCTCTCTTCACAGCAGCGCGAAGGCCGTTGGGAGAAGGGTGCCAGTCTCCTAGTGTTCCCAGAGGGACACCGCTGGCTCGAAGCAGACCGGACGCAAGGGGGCTGGAGTTGCAGATGACTGGGACTTCGGCTTCTTTCAAAGCTGGTATGCCGTATCTCTCAAGGCGGGTGTTTTGCATTGTCAACTGTGCCCAATTCTGGACAATGTCTAAAGGTCGACCGTACGTTTTCCGTACGGCGTGAGCGACGTATACAAGACGGTCGAGATCGTAGCCGGATACTCCCACATATCTCACCAGTCCCTTTTTCGACAATTTGAAAAGTGCACCTACTGCTTCAATCGCTTCGGGTATCGTAACAAATTCAATGTCGTGGCAAAATACGGCATCGAGATATGTAGTTCCCAGTCGTTCCAAGGAAGTATGAACAGACTTTCGTATCCAGTCTGGCGAGTAGTCGAACTTGTCGACTGAAATTCTGCCGACTTTGGTCATAAGGATATAGTCACTCCTTGAATACCTGCTTGTCACCTCAGGACTGGCAAGTGCCTCCCCAAGAAGGTGCTCGGAGGGATCATAGTAGGGCGAAGTGTCGATTGCTCTGATGCCGACATCGAACGCGTAGCGAATGATTTTCGAGATAGGCACACTTTTCGGATCTGGATTCACTTGGTAGCTGAAGCCAGAGCCTCCAAGGATAATTGGGGGTAGCTGCAAGGTCTGGCGAGGTTGTGAGGCTGACATGGTGGCGCTGAGGAAATGAAAGTCCCATCGTCTTGTTCTTCCCAGGATTTCTTCTTTTCTTACTCTATATCTTCCCCGCTTGCTCACCAACTCTTTCTAGTATGCAAGCATCTGGATGTCTTATTTTCAATCGGGGTTTAGGGACAAATCCGTGGAATAACCCTACTGGCTGATTGATATCCTAATTATCCCGATCCAATTACCCGTCGGGAAATTCATGATTGCGGGGAATCTCAAACATTGCCGAGTACGAACGGCTAAAGAATCCTTTGATTAACTCTGACTGTGTCACAAGCAAAGTCCTCTGTGGCCCATTGTCCATCGATAGGTGGATAAAACCTCTTTTCGTAGCGTTTGCAGTTCAGCCTCACTCAGTTCGGGCCGTCGGGCATTGTACAGTATGGATCTAAATGCTTTCCGAAATGTTTTCTTCATTGCTAGATATCAGCCACATTTATCGCCAGACAGAGTAATAGATACTTGCCTGGAATTCTGTACTCAAAGTGACAATTGCGGCTTCGTGTGCTCGGATAATTACCTCGCACGCCTCCTCCACGGAAGGGTTAGGGCCAATCCGAGACATCCGCTCTGCGAAAAGCAATAGCACAAAGCTGCCATGGAAGAGATAAATTCCAAACAGATAAGGCATAAATGATAGCTCTGGATCGACTCTGAGGATATCTGAGATCGCCTGGGCCGCGGCAATTGAGCTTGAAGAGCATTCGGCGAACCTAGACGAGGTGATCCAGTCTCCATCGTCTTCGAGCATAGTAATTGCATCCCAGTTACCGTAGACTAGAACGTAGAGAACCTTAATGATGTATACTGCATATGCAACCACCATTTTCGCAGTGTTTCGTTGCAAAGATGTACCCGAAGGGCTGTGAGACAGACTTTCTGTGTCCGAGAGCTCACAAAGACTGCGCTCACAAAGAGTGAGGTTCGCTTTGATTACTTCAAGGGAAGCATCATTGTTTGAAATCAAGCGTGGATGATACTTCTGTAGACGGAAGTCGATGATATCTCCAAGAATGGCCATCATGGGAAGAAAATATTCGAAGAAGCCGGTTCCAGATATTTTCATCGGTGGGCCATAAGTGCGGAGCTGCAAGGTTTCCATGTCAAGCACATCAAAGGTCTGCCACAAGCCTTCTGGCAATGGGCTGAAAACCTCACATTCGGCGTCAAGAATGTCCAACGGCCGATTGTGTGAGAGCGCCAAATGTCTATCCACCGTGTAAGCAAGCCAGAACACCCGGCGACGCTCTTCGTGTTCCTCGGCAGAACCTTGTGACTGGCCCGATGTTGAAGGCTCTTTGTGTAGTCCGAGATGTTGAATCAGGCCCACCGTCTTGTTCCACCACTTGATGCAGTCTGACTTGTACTCGCCGCCAGAAATGACAATCGTCAAGAAGAGAAACGTAAGTACGTCGTCAACACACGGCGTAGGGCCAGTACTGAAAGTTCTTCGAGATTTTTTTAATTTGTCAGTGTCGAGGCTTGTTGCGGAGTCTTCTTCCATCTGCCAGCCACCTATACCAACAGTAAATGTAAACATTGCCCCATTCTAGGAGTGCTAATGACCCACCAGGAACCCGTCGCCAATTATCCATGTCCCTTCTCCGTAGAAGAGACATCGCTACCCCATACAGGTCGTTGACAATTCGCTGCCGTGATCCAGGGAGGTGAAAGATCCGGGAATCGGCAGTGTGCGCAACACACCACAACATAGTCGCCAGCAATGCAGGCGAAGTTGACCGCGGTCTTGACGGATGTAGAACCCATTTCTTTCGTAGCACCGTTGACAGAACATAAGGGCTGTGAGTGAAGTAGAGAGAAATGCCCGGCTCTGCGAAGAAAATATCCAGCAGGTCGCAAGTAGTAGCTGGAGGGAGAATATCCTTTAAAGCAGGCAGGAGCGAGTTGAGGCAAGGGTAGCGACATGCTGAGTCCAGCTGGTGACTCTGGTGACTACCCGATGTGCTTGGAGATGCTGGGAAGGCGCTGAAGAGCAATGGATCCGTCTGGGGCATGTGCGACGAATCGAACCCCAACCCAAACTGCGGTGATTTCCCAATGATCTGAAATTGTCCCAAGTCGATATCGACATTATTTGACTGGTCTGACGTGCCGTCGAGACCTTGCAATGGTGCCAGTTGTAGCGATGCCTGTATATCGTCTTGATTGTCCGTCAATCGTTCAGAGGATACCCCCGACTCCATGGGCGAAGCTGATGCTTGAAAGCCCACATCTGAACGAGATCGAGCGCTGACGTTCCGCCTAGCCAGATTAGTTTTGCGCCCTCGTTTCTTGACTTGGCGGTTGTATTGACAGCGATGTCCTAGCGCTGGGAACATTAGATGAAACTGAGGCAAACAATGATAAGGAAGTTGAACGTAAAGGCTTACAATGGCAGCGCTCACTAAATGTTGAGCAATATATGAGCTCATCTTGATCTCTTCTTAAATGGGGAAGAGACAGTCTCACCAAGGCAAATCGCCATCACATCGTGTGCGGTAGAAATTGCACTGATCGCAGGCCCGGCCAACCCTTCTGTGGCTCATTGAGAAATGTCTCATCTGGCTGTCACTAAATCTTCAGTTTAAGAAAGACATTGTCGCCAAATGTCAGCGTGGAGCTGAGGGCTTTTCTGTGGTGTAGAAGCGCAAGATCGGCTTGAATCCTCAAAGTTTCCAGGTCCCGACCCCCCGCATTTCCCTTTCCCTGTCATGGAGAAGCGGGGATGTAGGTAATATACCCCACCAATCAGAAGCAGCTAAAGTATACCTGGAAGCTCGCTGCGGAGTCAGTAGTTACTAGTAGGAGTGTGCATTCGGCACAGGATAGGGTGATTAACTACTAGTTGATAATATACTGTAGACAGTTTAAAACTTTGGATTGACGAGCACAAGCCTACTCTGAGATTTCGCACATTACTATCCTGCCTATACGACCGCCCCTTCTACTGTCCCTCCTCAACCATTTCTGTCATCTGCTGGCTTCCCTTTTCTTCATCAGCACCAGTTCCCTGGGGACGAAGACCGACATCAACTGCAGTATACGCATCAGCGCAGTTACGGTATGAGGGCACAAAGTTGACACAGATCGGATAAGTCCAGGCCGCGACAAAGAAGCAGAGCGGAACAACCATTGCAAAGCTCGTGCTGCGAGCATCTGCTGCGACACCTAGGAGCGGTGGGACACATGCACCGCCGATGACACCACCAATGATGAATCCAGACCCTCGCTTCGTGTGATGACCTAGTCCGCGCAAACCCAGAGCGACAATGGTCGGGAAACAGATCGATTCGAAAAACAGCACAACATAGAGCATTGACATGCCAGTGTTTCCTCGCTGGGTAATGGATGGTGCGACAAAAATGATGCACATGGTCAGGAAAACGGCAAATACCCATCGAGGCCTGTAGAAGTGCATCAGGATGACCCCGACGAATCGGCCGACAGCGAACGCGGCTTGAGCCCCAGCGAGAAACTTGCTCCCCAGGCTGGAGCTCGTTCCCGGACGAGTCTCGGTGACATAATTGATAAAATATCTATGAATATTAGCTTCCAGCCCAATGATAATAGGTGAAATATGGGCCTTACCCTGCAATAGCTACTTGCGAGCCGGTGTAGCAAAATTGCGCAAAGGCCGCGTGGAACAGGCGGTACTGCTTCCATAGAGGCTTTTCATTATCACCAGCTCCTGTTTCCTGAGCCTGGTATTCCATATCCGCATCAGTGATTTCTGGGATGGTTGAGAAGAAGAAGACCACGGCAAGCGTGAAGACAAAAATTGCGATCGCGGTGTACACCCACTGGACGTTCTCCAGTGCCTTTTGGTCGTCGAAATCGAACAGCACATATGAGCCAAGAACTGGTGCGACCACTGTTCCGATGCCGTTGAACGCCTGGGAGAGGTTGATACGGATTTCAGAGTATTTTGGCGGCCCGCAGACTGTATGCTGGGTTAGACGCGGGTCAACTAAACGGAAAGCTTGTCAAGTCTTACTGGCAATGTATGGATTAGCGGCTGTTTCTAGCGATCCGAGACCATTTCCGATGATAAAAATGCAAGCGCAGAAGCCTCCAAATGAGTGCTGTTTAATTGCAGGGATTGCAAGGAGAGCGCCCAGGCCTTTCACAGCTTCAACGTCAATGATTGTCTTAACATCTTTCAACAGCTAAGCTTACCGTAGAGGAAGAGTCCCCAGATGTAGACAGCTCGATAACCATAGTGACGAAGAATCCATGCCGCGTGACCAAGAGATGCGAGAGGATATGCACTGGACAAATCAGCTTCCAAGGTTCAATTTCCGTGTGAAAATGGCACTATATGTACGAACCCAAAGTAGGCAGCCTGAAGGCCCGAGGATCTTGCCTTGGAGATATTAAGAGTCTCCTGGAAATGCTTGTTCAAAGTGTCGAGCAGCCCGTAAGAGAAGCCCCACAGGAAGAAGAGACTCGTAACAAGACAAATCGGATACAGCGACTCGCGCAGGGTTAATTCGGCAGCGCGAGTCCTGTCGCCGTCGCGCACCTTCAAACTGCGTCTCTTCCAGAATGAGGACATGGTGTTAAGTTGGTCGAGAAATTCCCGAGGCAAGGGAAGCGGATTGGTGGCCCGGTTCCATCTAGCTGCACGTAGTAGTATTTAAACTACCCGTGTTTAATACCGTTGCAGAGGACTATGTGACCAGCCTGCTTTTTAAGTTGCCAGGCCGCCTATTGACACGGGCCGCGCGGGGTGTGGGGGTGCTTATTGCCACAGGAATTTACCCATGCACTCACGGGACCTTCACTCATGTATGTGCCGCTCATTCTTCGGATAATTATATCGGGTCAATTCAAGTTCAATGTAGCATCGAATTTATTTCCCCGCCTTGGCAAGCTATGATCTATTCCTCTCAAGGCTTAGCTCACCCCGGGTTCCTCACTTGCGTGGATTCATCCTCTTCCCCGCATTTGCTTGAATGGTTTCTCCACATTCCGGGGAGGACGGGGTCATTTGCGTAGAGTAAGGGTAGATGCAAGGGACACGATCATAATACTGTACAGCAGATCGCCATGATCTGCTTGTGCCTCAAAATAATTTTCTGACTGATATTTCGTCCTCCTGGCTGTAGTGTAGTGCAGTGGGCGAGAAAATCCCTGGTGACATGTGTGAGTCTCGGAGAGTGGAACACCCCATGGCCCGTCCATGCCAGGAGTACTCTCCCTGCGCTTCCGGTGAGCCCAGGGAAGGTCCACGTTGACACTTCAGCGGTTGTCAGTTTGTAGCTGGTGTGAGGGTGCTGCATTGAATATTGGATGCAAGGCAAACTCCTATTCGTTCGATTGACTCCAGATTGCCAAAATTCAGATGTGTCTTGCACTACAGCGAGTTTCCTCGTATCGCCGGATGCCATCCTTATATAAATGACACCAGATATCCTTTTGTCTCATCCCATTAGTCAGTATGGGCAGGTCCATAACATCCAAAGCCATAATCCCATACAGATCATCCATGAGAGCTTCCACGGCCACCCTAATATACGCCTGCGGTTTATAGTCATCTTCTGTATTCTCCATGATCGGTATTTCATTAGCAGCCCTGGAGACAGCTACTACAAAGGGGAGCTCTTCGCGTTCCCTCTGAAGGGCTGAAGACGGAAGAGGCGAGTTAAGAATCGATTCCAAAGAGTCCGGTGTGACCATAATGCATACAGAAGTGGCATATCCACGAGAGATATTTGGCCGCATCTCATTAAAGCGCCAAATTTCTGTTAGCAAAGCTGTAAGCACACAAAGTAATATTGCGGACGTACCGCGAAACCTCTTCAGGCGAAGCGCCATCTAAAGTAGGATCTTCCACCCAGCATTTTTTCCGTAATTTGATCGCTTGATCCAGTCTGGGATGGCAATTGTGATAATCAGCAATTTCCTGCTGCATAACCTAGTCCCAGCGACTACGAAATTTAGTCCAAAGAGCTTCATGAGTTGGTCTATAATAGCAAGTGCGGAATATGATAAACCCCCAAGCAGACCATTGACTCGGATCAGAGGACTTAAACCCATTTTTTTAAGCTGTTAAGGTAGGGCGAAAAATCTCTCGCTCCGCCAACTTTTCATCTTCTGGTTTCTGAGCATCCGCAGCAGCCCGAGCTTCTTGATCACAGCGTTCTGCGACCTCCATCACATAGTCGAAAAGACCAGCTTCTCTGAGATCATTGAACAATGTTGTATGTTGTTCGTCTGTTAAGCTCATCATATCACCATCAGCGGGATTTAAGACCCGATTGTAGTCCCATCCCGGTGGGTAGAAAGACATGGTCACAAATGGTAAGTGAACAATGCAATGAAGCAATAGATGAAGAGAGAAAGAAGGAAATCCCTCAGAGGGATTGGGTGGGGGTTCCAGGCCCCCACTTGGCCGAGTCAGCCCACGGGGCACCACTGGGCCATGTGTATATCTACCTAGATAGCTTCATCTGATCACCACCTATTGCACTATTTACGTTATCCGATCTTTTCTGTATGACAGTACAATCGATCCCATGCCTCCAGTATTAATAATAGTCCGGCTTTCACATTAAGCCAGGCAATCCCCACATACCGTAGTGGACAGGAACATCCGACCTAATTTTCTAGGTGGAGCGGGACTTGCATAGAGAAAATATTCACCTCGAGTACTGATTGTCAACGTCAAGCTAATAAGAGGGACTTTCTTCCTGTACTAGGCTGAACTACCTATCGATAAATCAATCCACTCTCGAGGTCCCCACGCCCCCTATTTATTAGACAGTAATAGTATACTTCTTCCCCTTCTCCGTAGAAACCTGCCCGGTATACTTCTTGCCGTTCACATACAATGACGTATCACCATTGACAAGAAGTGTTAGTTTATTGCCCAAAAGCGACTTTATGGTCGCTTTTGTAAGCACGCCATTCTTCCACGCAATATCCACCTCGAAGCCGCCACGAGCAACAAGACCAGAAACAGATCCAGTGGGAACAGCAGACGGCAGAGCGGGCAGAAGATGAACAACACTCAAATGACTCTGCAGCATCAACTCCGGGATAGCAGCTGCGTAGCCTAGGTTTCCGTCAATCTGGAAGGTAGTCGATCCGCCTTTATCGCTGTTCCAGAGGTTGGTTAACAGGAAGGTTTGTATCCATGCTTGCACATTGTTCCAGGCATCATCCCCTCGGTATAGCCGGGCATATAATGAAATAGACCACGCTCGTGACCAACCCGTGCTACCGCTTCCACGATTCATCCGGCGGTCCAGCAAGACGCCCGCGGCGTCGGCGAGCTTAGTCGAAGCAAGCGGGGTGAGCTGTGTCCCCGGAAATAGACCGAACAGAGGTGAAAAATGACGATGGCCGGGATCCTTTTCGACAAATTCCTGAATCCATTCAAGGATCTGCCCATCTGAGCCAATTTTTGGAGGCCTGATCTTGCCCAAGTGCGTTTGGACTGAAGCTGACAGGTCGTTCTTGATTTTGAGAATTTGGTGCGTTTCATTCAGGGCAGTCAGCAATTCGAATAGGATGCTGTTGTCCAGTGCGGGACTTAGCGTCAGTGCCTCATCGTTTTCAGCAACTGTCATATTCGAGGGAATCTGGAACGCATTCTCCGGTGAGCAGGAGGGTCCACTAGTCAGGTATCCATCCAAGTCGAAGAGATAGCATTCAAAAAACTCAAATGCGCTCTTGAAGATCGGATACGCCTGTTCCTTGAGAAATTTCTTGTCACCGGTGAACCGATAATGCTCCATCATGTGAAGAGCCAACCAAGCGCCGCCCACTGGCCAGATTGAATACTTCGTTCCATTGTCAACGGGCACAGAATCTCCCCATAAATCGGTATTATGGTGCAGCACGAAACCCGGGCACCCATACATCCTCTCCGCCACGTCTGCCCCGCGCTCCTGGACAAGTGCAAGAAGATCCCACAATGGGGAAGTCAGTTCGTTCAGATTAGTCGTTTCTACAGGCCAGTAGTTCATCTCGAGGTTGATGTTGACCGTGTATTTCGCGCCCCAGGATGGGCTGTAGTCCTGGTTCCAGAGCCCTTGCAAGCCAGGGGGTAACGACCGCTCTCCGGTATTGCGAGAAGAGGTGATCAGTAGATGTCTGCCGTAATTGAACATGAGAGTTGCGAATTCGACGTCGTTGTCTGGAGATGACCTGTAGTTTGTCATGCGCTCGTTTGATGGTAGCGAAGCAGTATCATCAGTTGAGGAACCCATGTCGAGACTAACCCGGCCCGCGAGATTTTTATGATCTGCAATTGCTTCCTTACGAAGTGCCTCGTATCCCAGCTTGGTGGCAGCATCGAGCTTCAGATTCAATTCCGTCTCTTGGTCGCTATCTGTCTCATACCGATAGGACGACTCCGCGTCGAGGAAGAAGTCCACAGTCGTCGCGCCTGTCACATAAAGTTTGTCCCCGTTGGCAGTCACATTGCCTACTGTCAGTTAGTACTTATCACGCCACTTTTCGGAATATGGTCCAACCTTCATCCACGATCACTCTCACCCCTGCAGTAAATGTAGAGTAATCGACATCTCCCGTGTTGGCTTTCATCACGAGGGAGGCGACACCATCTACAACGCTGGCATTATTCGACTTAACGTACTTTGACCGACTTAGGTACGCATTCAAGTTGATCGCTTGCGAAGTATTGGCCTGGATACGGAAACCAAGTACACCAGACGGTGCGCTTGCAATGAGCTCTCGGCTGTACTGTGTCAGCACTTTTATCACAAAGATCCAGATAGAAACTCACGTATATCCTACGTCGTCAAACTCATACTCGCAAGCCGTGTATCCTTCAAGAGTATCAAGGTATCGAACCAGATTCGTCGCATCCCCCCTCTGTCCAAGATCAACATACAGATTCGACAGAAGCTGATAATGGCGCGGATCTGTAGACGACCCTGTCATATCCGACAAAGCCAATTCCCCCGCAGCCGTGATATTCCCATTTTGCAGAAGATTTCGGACTTGAGGAAACGCATCTCGAGCGTTCGAGTTCACTCGATCCTGGAAGGTCCCGCTCCAGACCGAATTTTCGTTCCAGGTGATAATCTCTGTGGGGAGACAGTACAGCGTTCCGCCCAAACGGCCATTGCCGACTGGAAGACTTGCGTTGAATTGCATACCGGGTGTGTCATACCAGAGGTAGCGGGAGCCATCAAAAGTCCGAGTCGCCCCTAGGCTTCCCGGTATGGTGAGGGCTGCCAGGGCGACTACCGCGCGCAAATGCTTGCCGAGTGGCATTGTAGTCACGGATGCGAAAGTAACTTACTATGAAGCACTTACGAAAGTATTTCATGGTAGAACGGTGTTGCACTTTATATCTTACATCGCCTTCAGATTACCCCGAGTCAGTTGATTCGGAGCAATTACCTCGTTGGGTGCCCTGAAGATCTACACACATTAACGGAGTAATTTTGAAGCATCCTACGGGAAATCTACGTCAACATGTGGAGAAGTACATCCTCGGGAATTTTGTTGTAGTATACAAGGGGGAAATGGCATGAAATGGGCCTATTAGCCTATTTCCCCGCAAACCATGATTCACCCTGGTTGAATCGGTTTATTCCAAGGTTGGAAAAAACAGATTGTACTTGTTGGCCCCAGGGGCTTCTACACTATCTTGACAACCAGGGTTCCTACAGACTTCTCAATACGTTCACCAGAACCCGAGGTCTATGGAATCTCCGGTTTGGTTTTGATAATAGTACTCGGTTCAAGAGCCGGGATAGCAGATCCAAGTTACACAAACAAAATCCCTGTTTCTATAGGGGAATAGGGTACAACAACCTTGGAACACAACATTTGAAGCGCATAAATATATAAAATAGCTAGTGACCCAGCCAGCCGATATGCGCTGCCTATTTCTCTCGTCAGTCCACGGGTATCATCTACTACTACTTACGAGAGGACTACAAGTTAATATAGAAGACAAGAGAGTAATAGTGAAGTGGTAGAATTCTATTCGTAATCATATTGAATAAATCGGAACGCCAATTATGCTCAAGCACTCGCTCTAAAAGAACGATATAAACAAGCTATTTACAGCCAAGAAATAAGATCATACAAAGTGCATCGTCGCCTTGAAGTTTACAGACGGCTCTGCTGGGAGTCCTGTCCCAAAGACTTCGTAGCGAAGGAGCCGAAGTACTCATTCAGGGCATCAGCGGTGCCGCTGCCCTCAACCAGCTGGATGGTGCAAGCGACGTGGCTGTCGGGGCGGGTAACGATGACACCACCCTTCTCAGCGTCGAGACCAAGCTTCTCGTGGGCCGCGAACTTGGCATTGGGGACACGGACATCGGGGATGTCGTCGGAGTACAGGTGGTGGTGGTAGTCACGCAGGATCTGGGGGATGGAGTCCACGTCGACCTCGTTCTTGGCAGCGGCATAGATGAGAGAGAGGGTGAAGAGTCTGGAGTGGGGGTTGTGACGCTCGAAGAAAGAGACATCGGCGATGTCAGGGCGGCGGTAGACGGAGAGGAAGGAGCGCTCCTTCTCCAGATTGGCGGCGAGATCGGCAATGGCCTTGCGGGTCTTGTTCTGGTTACCACCGAAGATGAAGATGCGGAAGGAACCGTTGGTGGGAACCTCCTGCTCGAGCTCAACGAAGTTGGCATCGGCAAGACGGGTGACCATGGTGGGGGTGAAAGCACGACCAGGAGTCAGGCGGACGTTGGGGATGTCGAACAGGGCCGACTTGGCAGGGTGGCTGGCGTCCCAGTTGAAGACGTTGGGCTTGTAGGCAACTCCGTATCCGCTGGTGAACTCGCAAGAAGACTTGAAAGTCTTGACAAACTCATCCTCCTCGACATCGCTCTTTGAGACGGCTTTGCTAGCAGAGACCTCACCGGCGGTGGGGCGGCGCTTGGAGAACAAAGCAGCATACTTGGCGTCGAAGTTCAGCAGAGTCTCGGCAATATCCTTGCGCTCGCTCTCGTAGGTGCTCAGAATAGAGCGATCGGCGAAGCCGGTCTCAACGGCGTGGATCTTCCAGGCCATGTTGAGAGCATCGTGGAAGGCAGTGTTCATACCCTGACCGGCCTTAGGGCTGTGGGTGTGGCAGGCGTCTCCACCCATGAACACACGCTCGTCCAGGGTGTACTTCTCGGCGATACCCTGTCCAATGGGGTAAACGGAGTACCACTCAACACGGTCCCACTCCACCCAGTAGGGCTTCAAGATGTTTTTGGCAGTCTGTTGGACCTCCTCGGCGGTAGCGGTCTTGCGGGGGTTCCAGTCGGCATCTGTCGACGAGGCGATCTGAACGTACAGGCGGACCATGTTGTCCTCGCGGGGAATAACCATGATTGAGCCAGCATCGGAGTGAATGGTGCATTTTGTCTGCAGAAAAGTTAGTTCTATGTATAGCCAGACAATCTCGTTGGTTATTGCTCACCTCGATATCAGGGAAGTTAGTGCGGACAACACCGTCCATGACACCCCAAACGTAGGCGATGGGGTCCTTGTGGTGGATCTTGATATCGAGCTGTTCACGGACGAAGCTGCGAGCACCCTCACCACTGAACAGGTATTTGGAGCGGACGGTCTCAATGACGTTGGTATCAATGCACTTCAGCTGCACCTCGACGGGGTAATCGGCGTTGGCGCCATCGTTCTTGAATCCGTGAATAGTCCAGGGACGCTCGACCTTGCCACCGGCCTTCTCGATCTCGTCAATGAAGACGCGCTCGATCTTACCCTGGTGGACAAGGGTGGTGAAAGGATAGCGGGTGTCGATGAAACGAGGGCAGCTGGGCCAGCTGCCAGTGCGGCCGATGCCAGTGCCATCAGCCTTGGGGTCCCAAAAGGCAACATCGTACACCTTGGCGGGCTCATATGCCATGATGGCGCGCTTGAGGCCAAGGTTTCGCAGAATCTCAGTAGAACGCGGCTGAATTCCGTCGGCGCGGCCAGTGGCGGTCGGTACAGGACGGTTGTCGATGTGCTTGACCTTGTAGCCCCAGCGGGACATACAGAGGGACAGTAGCAGGCCCACGGGGCCGGCACCGACGATGACAATGTCATACGTCTCTTGCGCCATGTTTTCTGATGGGAAATGGGGTCGGGAGGTGGGAGGGAGGGTGGGGGAGTAGAATACACGGAAAGTGGCGGAGGTCGAACTTGAAATCAGGTATTGTGCAAAGTAGTATATACCCTGTGTAGTGTATTCACGATCCAAGAGAAGAAGCGATGGAGGGCCATGGCGGGCTCATAAATAGTCTCCAGCAGGCCGGGGTAAGCGGGCCGACTTGGGCGAAATTGAGATGACGGAGAACAGCCACGGCATTGGGGATCGGTTGTATCGTGGGGAGCTGCTGGGAGAGAGCTGGGGTTGACCAATCAGAGGAGTGGTAGAGTGGTTTATACGTGCACAAGCGTGTGGGGACGCCCTGCATCCAGCGCAATGACAGAGTTGCCGTCGTTGATCCCGGTTGAACTGGCGAGGACGACGAGTGGTGGAGGTGGAGGAAAGTGGAGTCATCTGATTCTCCACTGCTGCCCGGCTGCGCGAGTCGGCAAGTGGAACTCGGTTGCTGCCCCGGTACATTCACACGCTACAAAGTATCCTGCTTGATTCCCTACATGAAGTATCTGCCTACTATTGCTTGATTGCCCTCTTCACCATTGGTTAAGGTACTTTTCACGCTTACCTAGGGCACGCTTGTCCACCGCGAGGACTATTTTATCCACCCTGCCCACCGGCCCCCCCACTTGACCGTGGCAGTTTGACTGGCAGTTTGTTGGCGGAAACCCGGTGAAGAGTGCCAGGTCCCTTTGGAGATTCTAACAGATTCATCTGAGTGGTACTTTATTAGCCTGGTTATTCTACCGGGCACGATCTCGGGTTATATGGCAAATTGGGTCGGTGGTTGTTGGTCCATTGTCCCGCCACCATTAGATATCGAAATTTGCATGCCCACTTTATCCCACTTTACATTGTGGGTGGAAGGGCTTGTATCTCGCATTCGAACTCATCATCCAGAGTCATTCAATGTGTAAACTATGTAACTACTGAGCATATCTCGATCTCAGGATCTCCGATAATCTCACTGATGATTTCATCCCGAGACTCTATCCGCGGGGGGGATTTCCACCGGCTATCCAAGGTTAAAAAGGTTCTTTCTAGTAACCTCGGGCCTAGTATTTTGCCTCCGTTCTCGCGGAAGTCAAGCTGGCAACCGTAACGGCCCTGTTAGGCTATTAGGGCCGACAATTCCGACAATTCCGATCTACCCAGCCCGACGGGAAGACCGGCAATAATGCCGGTTGGCAAGCTAAACCCCGGATCTAGTATTCTATTCTATCTTTTCTATTTAGATTCAAGTTATTTCCAGGTTTTCAAAGTTCAGCTCGCTAGTATACACAGATTTATCTAGAGCACAATGTACCTTCTCACTCAGGCTCAAGTTGGTACTAGTAATCATTAGTTATAACTAAAGGAGCTAGTACTTCAGGTCAATTTCGGCCTCAGGCCAACTACTTACTACATCATCAATGTCCGTCGTGGCAACAATAATTCTATTTAACACAAAATAGGGACACTCTACGGATTTTGAAATCCTCAAAGAGCCTCGTTTGATAACCCCTGCTCAATAGGCGACTGAAAACGTATTCAGTTGATTGGTTCAACTTCTTCTCAATAATGCGGCACCGAACTATCTATCGCCACTCCGAAATTTTAGGTAGTGCATCATGGAAGTAAAACAATAGAATTCTTTGCAGCCTGATCTTCTGTTACCATTCACCTCCAGGGCTCCAGGGCTTGAATACCTCAATTGATAGGAAGTTATTGGCATTGCGGCACTTGGTGCTTTATGGCGAATTGAGCCATGACAACGAGCTGTAACCACCACTGTCGGTGTTTTGCTCCCCTTCCATGCCAGGACTGACACCCTTTCCAACACTCAAATTCATGAATATGGACGACAGAATTTCGGAGATAATTTCGGAGATAATTTCTCCTAAGACCTATACTCCGCCCGGTCAACTCAAACGGGAGAATAATGGACTTCTTGTTCTTTCTGGGTACATGAATGGAACTGCCCCCAAGGCCCCACTCACAATCCCATTGAGCCCGCCGTAGAACCGCGGTGGCCCCAGTGAATGATAATCCACCCTGATCTTCGAAATCGAACTCTGCTAATCAATCTTCAATCATGCACGGGAATCTACAGCTTAGAATCGTCTTTTTACGGTTCTCAACCTGTTATAATCCTCGATCAATCCCATGCCACAGCTTCGTCGGAAGAGCAGAACAACATCAACAACACACCCGAGAAGATATCTCAGCAAGACGGCTCAGAATTCCAGTACTCAATGGCTTCGAACTTGGATGAAAGTCCCCTGGAGATGCAGTATTCGATTCATCATGTTCCGCTCATGCTGCATGGATCGGCTTCTCTTGCTGGCCAACTGGGGCCAATCCCTCCTACCGATGTTTACGGCGAATCCGCGAGGTAAGATTCATTGTTTGGAAAACAATTCGCAATTGACTGGCTCATGATCGAATCAGGGAGTACTGGAGTGTCACCAACAGCAATCCTTACAGCGACTCGATGGATGTCGATGAGCTACTCGCTATCCCATGCAGCGAGCCATCCCCATGCCTTATAGAAAAGGGACAGCAGTCTGCTCTACCTAATTCCCCGCAGACACGAACTATGATACGATCCGTCAGTCCTGATTCAACGGGTGCATCTTTCCCTCCCTGTGATGAGACCCTCCAGGCTTTAGTCCCAGAGGGCCTGAATATGTCCTTCAAAACCGGACACAAATTCCGACCACATCTGACTATCCCGGAGAATCTGATACAACCATTGAGTCGTACCGCTTCAGTTTATGAAGTGAAGTCACCTCTTTCCATGGCCGCTAGAGTGGGCAGGTCGCCCGATCAATCCCCATTGCATTCCCCGAGCCAGTCCCCTCGGAGGTCTCCGACTCAGTCTCCATCGCGTTCACTGGGTACCATTGAGGAAGATAGCGGTACGGATATCGGTCCAGGTCTGAAAAGAAAATTCGCATACCCTGGTGGGGGTGTTCACAAGAAGCTTTTCGGGGATAATGGTTGGCTCGATGATCATAAGCCGGCCCCGAGCCTTCGGCGAAGGCCAAGTGTGATGCGAGAGCTTGGAAGAAAGCTCAAGGGACTGGTAATTGATCTCAGCCTTCCCTTTTCGAATGACTGGTCAGAATCTCACATCAACCCTGTATAGAAAGGAAGTTATCCCAAGAGTTCCAGCCCGACAAGCGGTCCCGAATCGCCGGTGGGCTCGCCCAGTCCCCTCACACCAGTCTCCCTGACCTCGACGCAGCAGTCGAAGCTGTACGCCGAATTAGAAGTCATGATATGCACAAGCGCGAATGATTTCATCTCGAATCAATACTACGACGGTCGAGTCTCTCAGCAATCAATCTCAAAGATCCACGACTTCTGGAGCGCGAAAAATCGACCCCGAGTCACCGGATTCCGCTTCGATCAAGCGACTCAGCGAGAACTCATCATGGCCAACCGTCGAAGCCTCAGATTTGCAGGCGAAAGCTCCACCAACCCAGTCATGCTCGAGTCCAACCTCTCCAACTGGAAAAAGATCGCGCAAGAGATGAATGTTCGTACTTTTTGTTTGCCCGATAGCGCGATTCGCAAACATCTTCACGATACGCGTAACCTGCTGGATATGCTTGATGCTTCGCTTGCTACACTCCAGCAATTCCGTGATGTGAGCCTTCAAGCTCAAGGTGAAATGATGGACGAATACATTAAGCGCCGTCCGCGGACTACCGGTGGTTACAGCATTTTGCCAATGGGATAGTCAAGGAAAAATACCACATGTACCGGGCCGTTGAATTTGAGGATTCAGCAAGAAAAAGAATACAAAAATACTAGCTGAATGTTCTGTCATAAATCCACTAACAAGTTCTGATGAGGATTTCTTTTCAGAAAGTGTGAAATTATCTTTTACTCCAAGCGTTCTTTGTCAGAATCTAGCTAGAGTATGGCGGGTGGTAGTTATTTTTTTCTTAGTTCGTCAATCATTCAATTAACACCAACCAAATTAGTATTGTTTCCAGTTGAGTCCAACAAGATAAAAATAAAACAAAACAGAAAAGAAAATAAATAGTCCAGGATGTTTAGGGTAGTAAATACAGAAGAGAAGAGACAGGAGGAGATCCTTTTTTTTTCTTGCTTGACACCGCAAGGCACGTGCAGCGACGTCATCTTCCATAGGGGCGCCAGGCAGCTCTCGCAGCTTTTGACACAAAGAGTCATCTTTCGTTGTTTCACGCCCTTATGCCAACATCTAACCCTCCTGTTCAGATCGGTTGTTTCCGATCGGCCTAGGGCACCCAGCCACGGTGCTTGGAAATGACCATCTGGCGATCGGTGTTTTGATCTCGTCGATTGCTGGACCCTTGGAAAAGTGGAACCTCATCCTTTCGCCATGACGGGCCCTTTCCATACTTACGGCTCGACCTGCCTGCTAGCTGACGAAGAATCAGAGCCGTCGAGCTGGTATTCTCGCGACACCCCGCCCGAAATTCGCTCTCAATTCTTCTACATCTCATCCGTGCCAATTGACGACCCCTTAGCCCCTCTGCCTCCGCCAAGTGGGCAGGGATCTGGAAATGAAAGAGCCCCACCTAAGCCATTTACCGCGATAGACAACCTCGCGCTGGAAACTTCGTGGCAGAAACTAGGCAAATCTCGCCAGGCAACGGGTGCGAGCGAATCTGAGGCTCGAGCGGACCAGTCAAAATCGCTCCACGGTATTGCTGTTCCCGGCCGAGCATCCGAGTCGGGCATCGGACATAACCGCAAGACAGCAAATAGAAGAGATGAGGCAGGCCTGATCAGCAGTCGAAGCACCCTCAGCAACTCACCGTCTTTTCCGGACGAAACTCCTGGGCGGCATCTCAAGAGCCGATCCGGCTTACCCATCGGTTCTGAACCCCGAATTGGGGGTTCCACACGAAGACGTGTGACTCCATTTACTAGTGATGACTTGACCGAATACCCCCACGGGGGTGATTTAAACGATCGAAGGAAGCGGGAACTCTCTTCCTCGCTGAAAGAGATGCAATCGAGCAAGAGAAGAAGCGACTCGACTCTAGGAGATGATGATGGAGCAGAAGATGTTCAAGATGAGACCGGGAGTCTTCGTGCGAATCGGTCTCGTGATGTGAGTATCAGCGGATCGCCCTTCATCAGAGCGCCTATCTCCCAACCACACAGCCAATTTGGGAGCTCGGTCGAGTCTTTACCAGCGAAGGACGGACCCCAGGAATGGCAGAGCGAGGTTCGAGTCAGCGCACCAACCCATGGAGTTCCCAAGCCTTCGGGCCTTAGAGCCACCGTCAGTCTAGATGAAATGACTCAAGACACTTTCGAGGAGGACCGAGATAGAAGAAATTCAAAAAAGCAGGACAGCAATTTCAAGGCAAAGATTCCCGTCGGCGCTTCACGGCTTCACCTAGTCGAGCTTCCAAATTTGACTGTATGTGCATCATTTCTTGCCTGTTATTGCTAAGCTAATATTCCTTCACTAGATGAAACCGATTTATTGGAGCCCGCTTCACGACGTATCGACTGTCGTCCGAGCTACATGGTTCTACAAGAATTCGATGTACCCTGTGGAAACTGCATTGGCGAATAAACTAGAGGAGGGTTACACCTACCTGAAACCATGGACTGAGACATGGCAGGATGAGTTGAATAGCTGTGTGGAAAATGGAGCTGATGCAGAGCTCAAGATCGTGCATCGCCTCTGGCCGAAGGAGAAATCAGGATCCGCCAACCCGCCCGGGACAGCCCAAGACCAAGGAATGGATACCACCGGTTCAACAGAAGATGATGTGCCACCAGAGGAACCCTCGCCCGATCTCAATCAGGCCGCTGGTGGGAGCACAGCCTTCCCCGAAACGATCAAACCTTATCTCTCTTCCAGTGCTGTATATGTGGATGCCAGAAATGCTCAAATTCTCCGACCAAGCTTGCTACCATCCGCCTCTCGTGGCAGACGGCCTCTCGGTCCAATTCGCAAGGGAAGGCAGATCGGTATACCTGTGGTGCGCGGCTTCAGTCGCAGACTATGGGACAAGCTCAATCCCGCCAAGGCCAATGCGGTTGACGTACGACAATACATCCGAAGAAATCAAGCTCAAGAGTCCGCTCCTGCTCCAGGGGAGCAAGTTTGTTATGCTTGCAAAATGGAGGGACTGCGGCCAAGCCCTACAGACCTTGTACTTGTCATTCATGGTATCGGGCAGAAGCTATCTGAGCGGATGGAGAGCTTCCACTTTACTCACGCCATGAATGCTTTCCGTCGCCAAGTAAATGTGGAATTAAATAACGAGCCCGTCTGGCCACACGTGGATCAAGACAATGGCGGCATTATGGTTCTACCCGTGAATTGGCGAACAACTTTGTCTCTGGAAGATCCGACTCTGGAATCAACAGACATTAACGACCCCACTGCCAACAATTTTTCGCTCGACGACATAACGCCTCAGACTCTCCCCGCTATCCGTTCTTTGATCAGTGATGTAATGCTCGACATCCCGTATTACCTATCTCATCACAAGCCGAAAATGATCAGAGCTGTTGTAAGAGAAGCCAACCGTATTTACCGACTCTGGTGCAAAAACAACCCTGGCTTTCAAGAGAACGGCCGAGTACATCTCCTCGCCCACTCTCTCGGAAGCGTCATGGCGCTTGACATTCTAAGCCACCAGCCGACACATGTCCCTCACTTCAACTTTCATACCACCCCTTTGCATAGCGATATTTTTGAGTTTGACACACGAGTTTTGTTTTTGTGCGGGAGTCCCGCAGGGTTCTTTCTCCTCTTGAATAAAGGTATGACTCGAGTGCACACGATTCAGTGCGGTACGGCTGCTAACAACCGTCCAGCAAGTTTACTTCCCCGAAAGGGTAGAAATAAACCAGGCAGCGAGGGCGAAGATCTATTACGAGGTGTAGCCGGAGAATCCGGCAGCTACGGCTGTCTTGCCGTCGACAACCTCTACAACATAATGCACACTACCGATCGTGAGTACCACCTATGGACCAAGCTCTATGCCAAAAATGACTAATATACATAGCAATCACATACCGCGTCAACGCCGCTGTCGACTCCGAGCTCTCCAGCTCCCTCAAAACCGCCTCCATCCCCAGCGCCACATCTTCGTTCTGGACATCATTTGGAAGCGTCTTCAAATGGAGCTCGACGCCTGGCTTCATGGCTTCTACAGCCCCCACCCGCCCCGCAGCAGTCACAAAACTACCCTCGAACGTGGAAATGGAGACGCACGACTTCACGCGCGAAGAAATTGCTGAAAAGCGCATGTTTCTGCTGAACGATAATGGGCAGATCGACTACTATCTTTCTGGTGGGGGCGGTCCGCTGAATATTCAGTATCTCAATATGCTCAGTGCGCATAGTAGTTACTGGACGTTGACTGATTTCGTGAGGTTTTTTGTCGTGGAAATTGCGAGGAAGCAGGGGCGGGAGGGGACGTTGCATGCTTTGAGGGCTGAGAAGAAGAAGGGTTGGAAGTACCCGCGGAGTTGATCTCAGTCCGGGGGCGTTGCATTACAGCCACTGGTCTTGTACTTAGTAGAATGGATTTAGTTTTCGGTTGTTTACCCAGGTACATACTAACTAGCATATTCAAGCATCTCGACTCGGAGTTGATAGAGAATATTGATTGATTCGAGTTGTATCATGTTCTCATTTCATTGATTGATATATGTAGTGGCATTCTAGCTATCACAGATCATGAATTCATCCAAAAAAGATCAAGAGAGGAGAAAAAGACCCAAAAAGGGTATGTAAAAAAGGACACATGAAGAAAGATAATGAAGAGAGGAAGGGATCAAAAGAGAGAGAAAAAGTAGAATCGGAATCAGAATCAGAGAGATCTAGGAGTTCCAGCCCCCGAAATGTATCGTTCTAGTCGTGAAACTTGTTTAGCAAATGAGTCGAGTATCCGAGCCGTAAACACTGCCCATCATCAACGCTTCCACAATCTCGCCCTTGATACCGACTCCACGGCCAGGGCGCAGTACAACCAGGGCATTCGCACTGGCGAGACTACCGACACGCGAGCTCCGCTGTCCCACGCCCTCCACGCCGGTACTGGTAGCATATAGTCGGCCATCAGAGCGTGATCCGGTCACCACGGCACGGTGGTACTCAGTACGCTTCGGGTCGAGTGGGAAGTGGTGTGTCAAGACCACGGCGACACGGGGCAGGCCGAGCTGTGGTGCCAGCCAGGGCTTTGGGCTGACAGCGCGCGCGCTCTCGCCCAGACCGCAGAGCTTGTGCAGCGATGGCAGGACGAATAGGTTTAGAGTCACCAGAGCCGAGGCAGGGTTACCCGGGAGGGAGAAGATGAGTTTTGATTTGCGTTCTTGCTGTGTGTTGCCGTCGCCTGCTTCTTTGAAGGGGACTGTTGCGAAAGTCGTCGGCTTGCCGGGTTTCATGGAGACGCGGCCGAAGTGGATTGTGCCGCCGAGAGTGCGTTCGATGGTTGGTTTGAGGAGGTCCAGCTCGCCCATTGAGACGCCACCGGTGGTCACGATCACGTCTACGCTGGATGAGGCGCGGCCTACGCCGCGGAGGGAGTCTCGGAGGGCATGCTCGAGTTCGCTGGCTGGTGTATCGCGTGCAATTCCTAGGTCCACGGTTGGGAAGCCCCAGGATGAGAGGCAGGAGAGGAGTGAGGGTCGGTTGGAGTCGCGAATCTGGCCCCCGGTGAGGGTGCATGGGTCGTCGTGTTCGACGAGCTCGTCGCCTGTGCTTAGGACACCGATTCGAGGCTTTCTGAAGACTTTTACTGTTCTGATGCCGGTGGAGGCGAGTAGGCCTATCTCACCACCAGTGGATGAGATGATATCTCCGCGAGTGAGAATCTTCTCGCCGAGGCGGACGTCACTACCGGGCTCGCGGACATTCTCGCCCGGCTCGATGTCTCCGGTCAGGATCTCGATGGTGGCTTCTTCAGTTCCGTCGGGGGTGGAGGAGACCAAGTCAGTGTCTTCGACCATGACTACGGCATTTGCGTTGGGAGGGAGAGGGGCGCCGGTGGTAATTCTAGCAATAGTGCCTAGCTGGAGAGGCTTTAGGGATCCACCGACGTTGGCGTGAGTGATCGATGCTACAGGGAAAACGCCTTTCGTACTCGGAGCATTGTTCGTGGAGTCCGGTGCGATCACAGCGTAGCCGTCGACGATGCTTGCTTTGTATGCTGGGACTGACTCTGCAGCATAAACATCTTCAGCCACAACAGATCCCACTATGGCAGTGTTCACTGGGGCGTCGACTATAATGGGCTCGGGGGTGTGCTCGCTGATCTGCATGAGGGCTTCCTCTACAGAGAGCATTGGGTAAGGTGATGATCGGTATCTCCGGTTAGGACCAGCAGAAGGGTCATTTGACTGTTGACGGTTCGACGGGGTATGAGCCTTGGGAGCTGCGTGTCCTGGGCCGTGATGGTGGCTGCAATGGCTTTGTTTTTTCTGCAAAGGGGCACTGGAACCAGAGTTGACACTCACACCAGCCTCCGCCTCGAGGCTCTTGATACCGGCAGCGTGCATATTGCGTGAATTGGCGCCGGCTGATTGTAAACAAGCATGTGGTAGAAGCTTAACAACGGCTTCGAGATTCTCTATGGCTCCTTTGGGAGATCCTGGCAAGGTGATGATCAATGATTTGTCTCGGACTCCAGCAACCGGTCTGGACATCATCGCAACTGTGGGAAAGAGGGGGTTAGCGGCATGTTTATAACCTGGGGTCCAACTAGTATAGGTCTCCTCCAATGTCTTGGGATTTCCCAAACGAATTGCCAAGGAGGGTAAGGGGGTGATGTCATCTCACATGGGGTTACTTTCAATGAAGCGGCAATCATGCCATGGCTGAGAAAATTAGTCCATGCTCTAGCGCCAACCTTCACGACGCCTGGGGACGCCATGAGAACGCCATGAAAGACTTACACTAGGCCCGGGGCATGACGATGAATCAGGGGAGAGACCGCCTGTGATGTCATTAGCGACAGGGAACAGGCATATTCAAGAACAGATAGAGAAAAAGACTCATACTTCAGGGGTGTTATCCTTGATGGCGAAGCCTGTTCCTCCGCTGAGTAAAATCAGGTTATACCAATTGGCACTGTCGCTCCACTCGCAAACAGCCTGCTGGATCTGGAACACATTGTCCGGCACGATCTTAATTGCGGGGGGGTTCCCACTTGCCCTCTGCCGTGAGTATGGGGGCGAGGGCATTGGCCGTCTTGTCAGAAGCGGGGTCTTGAGAGGCGGTGTCAGAGACGATCAGGATGGCAGCCTTCAGTTTGTCCATGATGGGCCGGTTGATGGAAGGATGGTGAGTGGGTGGTTTGGGAACGAAGAGGGGAATGAAGTGGGGGTTGCTGCACGGTTTTAAGGCTCGCTCTCCTCTTGGGTGCCTGTAATACTAGTACTAGTAGAGTATCGCGAAACTTCGGGTGTGCGAGATTGTAACCCTTTCGCTAGTGGTCCGTGCTAGTTACCTTTTACAGATACGGAGTCAACCGAATGCAAGGTGGGTTCTCCCTGGTATTTCTTGGATGCGGGGGTGGAGTTGGTTGACTTTGGTTCCATTTGCTGTTGTACTGTACATACATATTGATCTCCCGATAATCAATGCTAATCCAGCGTCATCCCATTCCCTCATTTCCCTTCCTTTCTACAAGATATCGAAATTCCAGACGCCCCAATGCTGTGTATCGAAAATAAAACATGACAAAAGTTTTCGCAAACGGGAAGAGAGAGAGAAAAGATCAAATAATGTTCCGAGATCATATGCGGCTGGCCGAGCCGAGCCAAGTGTGTAGATGCCCCGATTGGGCAATCATAGCCATCCTACCCTTTCTGGTTGGATCCTTCGTGTTGGTGGAGAGTCCCGGAGACTCGCGGCCTGTCGCGGACTCTTAGGCCGCGCCAATGTCCAAGGCCTTACCGCCCACTAACAGGCCAGTAATAAGACCGAACAGTCCCAGGACGGAACTGAAAATCTCAATGACAAGGATCTTGACAAACCTAACGTACAGAGAAATGGTAAGTATGCCGAAGCTAACAAGTGCACGCCCAGGAGGCCCGTCGAGGGGGGGAGGGAGGGATTTGAGGCGGAATATGAGGGGAGCTTAGACGAGTGTCCGGGGTAAAACGACTTACAGTGTTGGGTCGGCGGCATCGGCGAGAGCAGCACCACTGCCGTTGATACCCACAGAAATACCGCAAATCAGGTTGCAGAATCCAACAGTGATACCGCCCCAGAAGAGTGCATATCCCGTATAGTAGTTGCTCTGGGTGTAGATCTCGCTCTCGGGGACCGCGTTGAGCTTTGCAGAGTAAACGATCGCCATGATGACGCCGTAGATGGCCACGACCTCGCAGAAAATGATAGAGATCAAATTCTTAGTGCGGATGCGAGGCGCCCGAACACCACCACCAACGATCGAAGAGCCGGTCAAGAAGATACCCCTGCAATAGAGGTGTCACCACATTAGCATTAAGCACGCCCAAAAGCCTAATCTGGCCAGCTAAGCAGCTGAGATATTCGGGTAGCATACCATGCAGCTCCAACTACCGAACAACCAATACACATCGCAATACCGATGTTCGCAAAGGCGAAAGGAGATACCTCCTCAAGGAAACGGCCGACCTAGAAGGTGTCGTGTCATGTCAATATGATGCTCGGGGAGAAATTTCGATCGGGTTGAGATATTGTTATCATCGTACATTGAAAGCTTCGCCTTCGCCCTGGAAGAGCATATCTGTATGTGAGATGGCCCATGTTAGCTATTGACATTCCAGCTCGGGGGGGGAGAAGTGCTCAACATGTCCGCTGGACTTACACAATCCGACCACCACAAGGGCAGTCGTGGGGACACCGAGAAGATACCTAACAGCCATGGCGACCTCGGAGAACCTGAAGACGAATGAATGAAAAGGCCAGTTGGAAACAGACGCGGGGAGTTTGGTAGCTGTCGTTGGATGGTTAGAGGAATGGACTCGGTGGCCGGAGCGGATAAACTGCTCCGAGGCGGTGGACAAGACGAGCGTCTTGTTTCCCCAGATCCACGGATCAGTTCGACTGTCATTGATTCAGCGGGGCCATTGTTTCTCGGCTTAATTCATATTCATCGCCGCTACCGCTTCTGTTCGTGCTTTCTTTGCTGCCTGCTGAACCCCTCCTGTTTGGCTCCGCGGCGCATTTTGAACCCCTGAGTCCTCTCCCCCTCTCGATCACCAGCACAACACACAACACCATGGCCTCCTCCTCTGGGGTAGGGTCGTATTCGAACCCGTTGAAGAAGTTCAAGTAAGTCTGATGCGTTCTGGGAGAACCCCCCTAAAGCTGTTCGATACTAATGCGCGATATATAGGTTGGTATTCTTGGGCGAACAAAGTGGTATGTTATCCTCAACCCGCGCGACCAATACAACCCCAATGAGGTGGAGCAACAAATAGCTCGAATCGTGATATCTAACAATCGTTCCAGTTGGAAAGACCTCCCTTATCACCCGATTCATGTACGACTCCTTCGACAACACATACCAGGCCACCATCGGTATCGATTTCTTGTCCAAGGTATGCCCCTCCAATCTCTCCACATTGCACTTTTAGGCAGCTTGAGGACTGATCGCGACTTTGTTAGACTATGTACCTTGAAGACCGAACTGTCCGCCTTCAGCTTTGGGATACCGCCGGTCAAGAACGTTTCCGCTCCCTGATTCCTTCCTACATTCGAGACTCCAGTGTCGCCGTGGTCGTCTACGATATCTCGAATGCTAAGTCCTTCCAAAACACTCGGAAATGGATCGATGATGTGCGCGGAGAACGTGGCAACGATGTGATCATCGTTCTTGTGGGTAACAAGACCGATTTAAACGATAAGCGTGAGGTCACAACCGCGCAAGGTGAAGAGGAGGCGAAGAAGAACGGCCTGATGTTCATCGAGACCAGTGCCAAGGTCGGACACAATGTGAAGCAACTATTCAGACGGATTGCACAGGCGCTGCCAGGTATGGAGGGCGAAGCCAAGCAGGGCGAGAGCCAGAGTAAGTTCGATCGAAGTCGTTGTGCTATTGTCCACAAATACTGACCGCACTTCTTCTCTGCAGTGATCGATGTCAACATCCATCCGAAGGAGACCACCAACAACGACGGCTGTGCCTGTTAAACGCTCTTCTTCCGTATTTTCCTTTTACACACTGGTGACCGATGACGTTGCTCGCGTCCGTCCATGATATTGCACCATTTCCTTCAAGATGTACATGTTCCCTCTCACTTTCTGGTTGCTCGTCGGATGAATAGCGGGTGTTTAGATCTCCCAGCGGCTTGATCTGGTTGCGTCCAAGGGCTTTGTAGGCTATCTTCCGAAAGCCTGTTGCTACCATTTTTTGCTACTGCCGCATTATATCTTCTTTTTCTTGTCTTACTGAAGGAAGCCCTCTTCTTTCAACATCGTTTGTTTCCCAAATAGCCTCCAGGGCTAGTATGTTGAATATGTTATAATTGATGAAGCTGTACCATATGGCGCCACAGCACAGTAATGATTATTCGACTGGTAATATCTAGAAACCACTACTAGTATTATGACATGAGTTAAATCAAACACGGCCTCTTCTTAGTCCACAGTTCCCACGTCTTCCATTCCTGTTCTAGTCGAGATGTTTTCTTACTCGGCCTGTTGGGCGGCTATTGCAATCTCGATATCAAAACTGTGAAACCTGGGATATTGATTGCGGTCCCACGCCGAAGCAATAGCTGAACATGAAAAAATGGTGATTTATAGAGCCACTGGCACTAATGTGGTTTATTGATATCAGCCTTCTCTTGTTGAATATTGAGCCGTGTGGCTTCGAGCATATAATATTTTCACGGTGGGGTACTAGTACGAGTAAAGTTAGAGTTATCCATGGGATGGCCACTGCGTTGGTCCCTGATGAACGGATGATGTTGACATTCCTCCCGGACTGGCCGGATCTAACCACCCAAGACATCTTTCTTCCGAGGTGAATTAATTCCAGTCTATGCTCCATATGCTGGATGCATTCGATTGCCTTTTTTCATGCATACTTCACTTCATTCCGTAGAACCGGTTGACAAAACCTCCACTGCGGGGGTTTAGGATGCCCTCGGCCCAGGGCAGTCACCATGAAGTTTTATTTTCCGGTCATTCTGGTAAAAGGTGACAGTTGACCATATCGTCTGAATTGGTATAATCTGACACTGGAAAGACAAGTCCCCTCAAGCCGATCACCTCCCTTCACTCCTTCGCATCTTGAGTGAACTACATACATCAATTCCACAAGACCGAGGCACGGCTCGCACTGCTTCGAGCTTCCCATCAATCCTTGACTTCTTATTGTTTCCCCTCTCACTTCACACTCTGAACACCGAGGAAGGGCAATCATTATGCTCAGGAAGGACTTCTTCTCACTCTTACGCCGCCGATGGGTCTACCTCACCCTAGCGCTCTATGCCTCTGGTCTGCTCTATGTCATGTTGAATACTCAACTCATCTTTGAGGACGAAGAACCAAAATCCCAGTATTTGTTTTCTCTCATCTCATGCCTCGATTTTCATACTGAACCAACTTTTCATGGGGGTAAGAATGTCGCGCCCATCCAAGAGCCCGTTCCCTTCCATTGCCCACTGCCTCGATGTATTTCGCCATCCCATTACTGAACCGAATCTCACACTCACATCCGGCGAGATACTTCTACTCCCATATCCCTCTTTACCAGATGGCCATCGTTTCAAAAAGTCCCTAGGGAAAAGAATACTGATCCTTGACGTCGATACACGTCCTCTGAACAATTCGGGGGGAGATTCTCAACTCAACGTGGTCTCCTGACGAGAATAATGTGTGGGCAACGGCAGGGCGCCTCAATCATTATTTGTTCGGTGGGTTCATTCTGGGAGGTGTATGATCTCGAACTCGCTAACTATGACAGCCCAACTTCATAGCTACGACTACAAGTTTATGCAGATGGCCACTTTCTCTGGGGTGCATGGGACATGGTCGAAAGTCTCCGCAGTGAGAGAACATCTCTCACTTTATGATTTTGTGGTATTCATGGACGCAGATACAATCTTTCCCCATCCACATGTACCCTTGGAATGGCTATTCAACTACTGGGACATCGTCCCAGGTAACCTTATCGCCATGGCCCTCGACCCGGAAGACCCAAATAATAACGATTTGCGAGGCCGGACTCTCCTGAAGACAGGCTTCATCATCGCCCAGAAAAGTTCTCGAGCCCAGGAACTATTTACGGCGTGGGAGTCCTGTCCCCAAGAAGTGAAATACCGGGGAAATACCCCGGTTGCTCTAATTTCAGCTACAACCGGCCGCACGAGCAATCTCGGGGCTCTGGATTTTATTGAATCGAATTTAGTATATCTACTAGTAGCTGGGTAGATATGCAATGATGGAATTTCCATTCCACCTTTACCTAGGTAATATGGAAAGGTAGTTCTGATACGAGAGGTCTCATGTAGCGCAGAACCGCTAGGTCTGGGACATGTTTCAGAAGGTTTGTCCTATTGCAAAGCCTTTGTCAGTTCACACTTCTATATTTAGGTCTTTTTTCCGGTCTGATAGCTTTTTATCTATGGAAAGATTTTCTCTATAATCGCGCCTTCTTCCAGGAAGGTTATTTAATCTAGCGTATATGTCTTTTACTTTGAGCTAGCTTCTTTTATGCTCTATATATCTTTATATCACTATCTTCTTTATCTACTAGGTAGGTATCATATAAATAGTAGAATCAACCCTTAATATAATATACTTTATTTGTGTATCTAATAACTACCTAACCCCTTTATAAGGTATACCAGTAACACCTAGGTAGTTATAAATTAATATATATTTATTACTATCATAAATTTTATATTTTATTAAAAACCCTAGAGGGAAATACTATTAATAGATATAATTACCTAGAAGTTTATAATCTTTATCTTAAGTAGCCGTATTAGTACTATAAAGATATAAACTAGCACTATAATAGAAACTAGCCTCCTTCTTATTTATAAATATAATATCTATTTAGGGAGTAAAAGAAGTACTGATAGTAAGAAAGTTAGATTTATCTACATAATCTCAACAAAGAATATGCCAACAATAGAGGTTTAATGGTAAGAAAATAAATTCCCCTAGGGATTATTACTACTAAATACTGTATACGACACCATCTTAAGAAACGTGTCCCCAGTATAATTCACTCAGGAATATTGGCGGGCCTATATCCACTTTGACCGAGGGAGGTAGTTCTCCCTGGTCTCGTCAGACATTTTTACCCAGTGCTAAAATCTAGCATTTTTCATGACTGATCAGCAGGCTTCAGGTGCCATTTCTACACAGTCCAAATAATTCACGTTGTACACACGCACACACACAATTCGTTCACGCCCGGTGGCGAAGTCGAAAGGGCAACTATCACTAATCTATCAATACATGTCCCTAGTATATGCCATGTCACCTTGGAGCCCACACATGGTTGCTTTTCTCATATTTCATCTCGGCTACCAATGTCGCGATGAATTCTCGTGGGTTAGTAATTGTTAGCAGGCTGGCTTGAAGGCGCATCTTCAAGTGTTCACGTTGTACAGTCGATGGTGAAAACAGCTTCTACCCTGATGACAGCTTTTCTTTCCCTGGGCCCCACTTCCAAGGACTAGCGCAGATCTTATATTGGCCAGGCCGTACCAATTTGAGGGCCATAGTAAAATTCCGCTTAATTAATACCACAACGATAAAACTTTATCATTTGAAATTTAGAACAAAAAGTGTGATATTATACAGTAGATACAGTATAATTCGAAAACAGGTTACCCCTTGTACAGTCTTTCTTTGTTTCCCGCACTTACGATGCGCTCAACTAAATTCGGTCAGAGAAAATCCCCACCGTTGTTTTTGGTGTATCTCTGGTACATCACCAAAATAACTGCTGGTACAATCAAGTGGTATATTGCAGTAATGCACCTTTCTGTTGGTATATGTATAGTAGCCCGCTCTTTTTCAATGATCGATTTCAGGCCGAGTAGAGACGCTTCTTCGCGCAAAATCTTTCTCTTCCAGCCTTTGACTTGCAGATATCAAGCCTGGGAAGAACTTTCATCTGCATTCGTCTGCGGTCTTCTCACTCCAAAGTGATACTTATAGTGCATAGGTAGTAGTACATACTTGGTGAACACGAACCCAAACTTCTCATACACCCGTTTACCTCGAGGGCTCGAATCAATATAACATTCTAGTTTATCCTTGTCGGCTAGTTCACATCCGTGTTGCAAGATGAGACTTCCGGCCCCTTGCCCTTTGTAAGCCTCGGCTGTACACAATAACTCCATATCTTACAAATCAGCACACTTGCTAGAAGTTAGAAGCGACTTTTACAAAAGGGTTTGTACATACAATAGTGGGGGCGATCATTCATGAAATCTTCCCTGTTCTTTTCGAATGCTCCAAATAGAGCGGTGGCAGTTTCTTCGTCACAGCAGGCCATAAAATCGTTTGTATACTTGATCTGTTAATACTCCGATTCAGAGAAGGGGCAAGATCCACGAGATTCAGGTGATAGTATATGCTAATACAAATGGTGAGTAGACTTACTCGCCCTTCCTCATACCCTGGTTGATGTCGATCCTCTTCCTTCTTAGGCTTTAGCCAGAGTCCCATACTGACGATCTTGTTGACGTCAGAGTCAGTCACTTTGAGCACAATAGTGTAAGGATCTTGAAGACAGTATTTTATATGATCTGTCCAGCATTTGCGAGCCTGGGATGTATCTGGCATCATTTTGCGGAAGTAGGGATGATCGTGAAAGCCAGCAAAAAAAAGATTCCCAATAGCTTCCGCGTCGGATGGGTCGGCAGCATCGAGATTCAAATTATGCTTGCTTGCGAGAGGCATAGTGTCTTCTGATTGTTTATACAGAGGAGAAAAATATACTAAGAGCAGAAACCGTGCGACCACTTGTGATTGATTGGTTAATGTGTAGATGTCAAGTTACGACACAATGAAGGTCGACGGGAAACTTTCAGTTCGTGGAGACGATGTAAATGACGTCACGAGAGGAGATCTGCTGAAAGGTAATGGTCTAGCAGCGCCGGGATAGTTTCATTACAGTAATTTTGGTTATCTGCCAGAAGTACATGCTGAAAGGATGATGGGGACTTTCTCTCATTATTTGATGTTTGGCGTTTGGCGCAATCGGAGAGGGCACTGGGAAAGAAAGATTTATAATCTGTTTTCGAATGCTACTATATATTACCGTACACGGGCACGGCACACTAATCCTCAACTTAAGTGTACCCCGATCATAGATGATCTGCGCTAAGGACTTGGCAGTGGGGCCTGGGAGACTAAAAGCAGTCTGGGGGGGTAGAAGCCGATTTCGCTATCAACTGTAACCATCTGGATATTACCCTGTGCATCATCCTAAGAGATAAAATTGTGCCGAGGCCATCATGGATCCTACCTAATGTCGGTATGACTTCAATCGGCCAGACGATGTCAAGTTACTCAAATGCTCGGAAGCAAATGGATGTCCTGAGATGGCACATCTCGGTTGCTCGGGGAAATTGGTACTTCATTACTGGGGGTCAAAGGCGTCTGTTCCTTCTGCGGTGCAAGAATCCATTGTGCAACATTTCCTCCCGTCGCTGCATGGGGGATTTCATCGGGACTTTGCGAACATTGTTTACGCCACTTATGGGAATCCGAATTTCTCTCTTGCGGGAGGTGGGAACTTCACGTCCGAAATCGAGCAGAAACTTGGGAGTGAGATGCCGGCGCTGACTCAAGAGGATCTCCGTGAAACGACTGAAACATCATCAATCTTGAATCCTTTATTATGATTTTGGGAGTCCTTGATGGCGGCAAACCCTTTCGAGGCGGTGCATTCTGATTATTGTCAATGAGCGGACAGATAACTAATAATGGGTCTTCATACATCGCAAGATCACTCCTCTACCGCGTAAATGGATTAGAGGGTAGTAGTTACTAGTGCCGGCAACCTTGGAACAGCATTCCATCGTGTGAACATTATAGTCCATTATGGGAAATTGGGATTCAATCTATGTATTCAATCAAGGTCATAGAGATACATACATCCGTGAATAAACAAGAGAAATGGATGATATAAAAAAGTAGGCAGGTTTCTGCTCGAGCAGAATCGTCGTTCGCCAAAAATCAATGCATCTAGAGCGAGGGGGAAAATAGACTTGCACATAAATATTATCAACAGAAGATACGTAGAAGAGAACAAAAAAAGAAAGATTTTGGTTTTCCGTGGCGGTCATGACACGTTGTATGTGTTTGAGGAATTCACTTCCTCTGGCATTTACTCCTCATCCTCCTCATCCTCTTCGGCGACCTAGAGAGTATATTAATACCGAGATCATTAAATGGGCAGGCAGGGTTATATTTCACTTACATCAGCGTGGAAGTTCTGTCCATCGGTGGTGGCCTTGATGACGCCGGCGCGGATGCAGAAGTCGCCGAAGCGCTCAGGAGTCTCGCCGTCAGTGTTGCGCTCCTGGGCGTAACGCTTGAGCAAGTCCTTCATGATCTCCAGGATCTCATCCTCCTTAATAGAAGAGCGGAAGAGCTTGTTCAGACGTTGGCCGTGGTAGCCACCTCCCAGGTACATGTTATAGGCACCGTAGGCCTTACCAACAAAGGCAACCTCGGCGAGCCATGGGCGGGCACAACCGTTGGGGCAACCAGTCATACGCATGACAATCGAATCGCGGGCCAGACCGTTCTCCTCAAGAGTAGACTCAAGCTTAGAGATAAGAACGGGCAGGTAGCGCTCAGACTCGGCCATAGCGAGACCGCAGGTGGGGAAGGCGACACAGGCAGAGGAAGACAGACGCAGGCCAGAGAAGGCGGTGTTGTCCAGCTTGTACTTAGCCATGACCCCCCTTGATAGTGGGAAGATCCTCATCGGTGATGTTGGAGATGATCAAGTGCTGGTTACCGGTGAGACGGAACTCTCCCTTACCAAGCTCAGCCAGCTCACGGAGACCGGCGCGCATAGCGAACTCAGCAGTGTCCTCGATACGACCGTTCTCAATGAAGAAGGTGAAGTGGTTCAATCCCTTCTCGTCCTTCAACCAACCGAAGGTGTCGACGTTGGAGGCAAACTTGAAAGGGCGGGCCTCGGCGAAGCGCAGACCATCCGGCATACGCTTCTCGACCTCAGCCTTGTACACTTCAACACCCATGTCGTCAATGGTGTACTTCATACGGGCGTGCTTACGGTTCTTGCGGTCACCGTTGTCACGCTGCACAAGCATAATCTTCTCACAGAAAATATGGACTTGGTCCTTCGGGACGAAACCAAACATGCGACCAGTCTGGGGGTAGGTCTTCTTGTTGTTGTGGGTGGAACCCATACCGCCACCGGCGAGCAAGTTGAAACCTTCCAGGTGTCCGTCAGTGCCCTTGATGGCGATCAGACCGATATCGTGAGCGTAGACATCGGTGTCGTTGTGGGGAGGAATAGCGATGGTGATCTTGAACTTGCGGGGCAGGTAGGTGGGACCGTAGAGGGGCTCGTGGTCAACAATGGCATCACCAGCAACCTGAACCTTCTTATCGTTCTCATCCTTCAACCAGATCTCGTGATAGGCGGTGGTGGAGGGAAGAAGGTGTTCACTGATCTTCTTGGAGAAAGCCCAGGTCTCGCGGTGGAACTCGGACAGCTCAGGGAGCGAACTACACATAACGTTACGGTTGACATCACCGCAAGCAGCAATAGTATCCATCAGAGACTGGTTGATAGCGCGCATGGCACCACGGAGCTTCTTCTTGATGACTCCGTGGAACTGGAATGTTTGACGGGTAGTGAGCTTCATGGTCTCGTTACCGTGGGAGCTGCTGATAGCATCCATCTGCAACCACTGCTTGGGGGTAGCGACACCACCAGGGAGACGGCAACGAATCATGAAGCTGTAGGCGGGCTCAAGACCCTGAGCCTTGCGCTCGTCGCGGATATCACGGTCATCCTGCATGTATGTACCGTGGAACTTGGTCAGTTGGGCATCGCTGGCCGAGATAGCACCGGTGCTCTCGTCAACGAGACCCTCCTCGATAGTACCACGCAGGTAGTTGGACTGGATCTTGATGTCCTCGTTGGTCATAGGAGCAGGCTCCTCGGGCAGACCCTCGACCTTGTCGACACCCAGAGCTTGCCAAAGACGGGGCTCCCAATCAGAGTAGCCAGTCTGGTAAGCATCAGGGTCTTGGTCATCACCAAGGCCGATGTCGGCAAGCTTGCGAGCACCCAAGAAAGCAACACGAGCGTCAAGGTCCTTGGCAGGCTTGTTGTAGTAGATCTTGTCCTCCTTGCGGGGCCAGTAGTGGCTGTCACCTAGACCAAAGACGGAGTAGTTAATGGTCGACAGGTCCAGATCTCCGGAGTTCTTAACGTGCTCCCACAGACCACGGCCGTTCACAGGGAATTCACCCTGTCCGGCAGTACTGGTGATAAAAACAACGTTCTCCTCAGTAGCGAGATCCTCAATTGGGAAATCGTCCATGGCCATGACAGTGGTCTTCAGACCACGAGCACGACCACGGTTGCCCAGACGCTTAGCAATGTTCTCTGCGTTACCACCGTCAGAGGCAAAGAGAATAGTCAAGGGAGCTCCGAAGAGACCCTCCAGAAGCTTCTCGTAGGCATCCTTGGCCTGACGCTTCTGCAGAGCACGAACCTCGGTACCGTAAGAGGCAGACAGAGCAGAGGAGAACTTGGGGTGGCGGTTCATGAGCTGTGTGAGCTGGTTGTCCCGGCGAAGGAACTCCTCAAGCTCACGCTTGATCCGCTCGGAGTCGAGAGCAAACTTAGGCTCGCCCTTCTCCTCGTTCTCGGGGTTCCAGCGGTAAAGAGGCCAGTAGCCGAGGTCAATAGCCTTCTTGGTCTCCTGGAGGACGCTGAGAGCAGAGTCGTTCTCCTGGTGGTATGGCAGGTAAGCGACAACGACGGATGGGCCCTTGAATTGCTCAGCCTCGGCCATAGCCTGAAGCACCTGAGTGTAGGAGCCGTAGACCGCAGTGGAGGCAACGTAAGCATTGCCGAAGTTCATGGCATAGAGACCAATGTCCTTCTTGCGACGAGTGGGGTCAGCCGCAGTGCGCTCAGAGTAGGGCTGCGAGTCAATGATCAACATGTTGACATTGGCGCCAGAAGCGAGAACGTGGTGAACACCCGAGTTTCCAATATCGTAAGCCCAAGCATCGGAGCCCACGAGCCACTGGGACTCCTCGAAGAAAAGCTTCTTGGACTTCAGCAGCTCACGGGATAGCTGAGAACCATCGTTAGACAGACGAGAGATGACATCCGGGGCAATCTTGTTGGCCTTGGCGGCCTCGTTCACGTTCAGAGCCCATCGTGACAGCCAGGTTTGAGGAACGTCGGTGGCGAAGCTGGAGGACTTGGAAGCCTCCTCAACTTCACGAATGAAGCGCTTGCGGTGCTCCTTACGGGCAATCAAGGAACCAAAACCGTACTCGGGGCTGGCTGCGATGGTGGAAGAGATACCGGCATTCTTGGCGCCAAGCTGGTTGGCGATGTAGAGTCGCTCACCAAACAACTGGTGGAGAATCTTGAGGTAAGCATTCTCCACGTGGGGCTGCTCAAGAGCTTGCTCGGTGGAAGGGACATGAGGGCTTCCGATATCAAGGTTCTGGATGGGAGAAGAAGCCTCCAGATTCTGGAGAATTCCGCGAAGGGCCTGGACAGCTGTTGAAGGCTCAACATATCCAAGGCGATATCCAACAACCTTGAGGGTCTGAGCACGGACACTAGAGGGCGTCACGCTGGAAAGAAGATCCATGAAGGCGGGACCCCACTTGGTGGTCTTGCGAACTTGCTCCAAAACAGCAATCTTCTCCACTGAGGTAGGAATGGAATTAACAATCTGGCCACCAACCCATGGGCGGTAGATGCGGGCTGTGATGAGACCAACGTTCTCAAGCTCAGCGGCACCGGGGTTGGACAGGGCATCGACAAAGACTCCGGTAGAGCCAAAGACGAAGACGGCAGATTTGGCATCTGCAGGGCCGGTATATTCAATGGCATTATAGGTGCGGCCAACCTCCTTGGAGAGGGCGGTCCAGATCTGAGAAGTCCACTCAAAAATATCGGCAGCGTTGACAGGGCGAACACTGGAGTTATCCACAGTGGTGGCGGTCGAGCTAGGGGCCTCGCTTCCGGCGATACTGTCACGACGCGAGGAACCAACGGAAGAGTTCTCAACGCTAATGGAAGGAGTCTGGGTCTGAGAAGGGACCGCAAGGGTGGCAGGTGCCTCTCCCTGGCCAGCGGGGATGGCCTGCGATCCCTCGGCGGAAACGGTAGCCTGACGGCCAGACTCGGTGTATAGAGTCTCCGCACCGGTGGTATGGGTAGCAGCATTACCAGCCAGGTTCAGGATCTTCTTCACGACCTCAACATCTTCGGTGGCAACGGCAGAGTCTTTAGTAGAGTTGGCCGGGTCGAAGAAGTGAATGACACCCTTTCCGGACTTCAGGGCCAATGCATGAGCAGTCAGGGCAATATCCTGGGCTTCCTGGACAGTCTCCGAGTGCAGGAATGTGAAGCCGCATTGCCGGATGGAGCTAATCACGGAGTAGTCGGGGAATGGGGAAGGCTCCAGAGCGACGTGGATGACAACGGGGAAGTTGGCGAGGCGGTAAAGGTGAGGAACAGATGAAATCAGGATAGAAGAGCCGGTGACAACAGAGACGGTCTCGCCCTTTTGCAAAGGGTAGAAGGTGGACAGGAGGGGGGTCCTCGTTATAACGCACAGCTTGCACCTGATTAATCAGTTAAGGGGTGTTCTTGTTCAGATATAGATGACTGGATTAGGATTGCAAGTACCTCGGTGGTGCCCCTTGACAGTGCACTGGCAGTCTTGTTTGACTTGAGAGTCTTCAGAGACTTTGAGAAGAGTGAGTCGCCCTGCAGGGAGGGTTGCACTGAGAGGACGAGGTCGCTGGCCAGATAGGCGATTCTGGCCACTAAGCACCGAGGATACGGTTAGCAATTGACCATGCAATGATGGGAAATTTCAATGTTTATAGATCACTTACCGGCGTCGCCCGCATTTTGAACGGATGCCATAGCTGGCGTATAAGCTGTGAAGGTGGGATGAGGGGGAAAATCAGGCGCGATATTGGCTTATCGGCGCATGCAACCCTGGACGATCTCCCACGCTGGAAGCAAATCCACCACAGAGATGAAGGGAATAGGAGGAATATGACACACAATTGAGATGTCCCTTTGCACTTATGATCTATCTTCAGGGAAAAAAAAGTCGGCAAGATTCCTCCAACGAGTTCTCCGCCATCGGGGTTAGATCAGCAACACTCTTATTGGTGCACGATCACGACATCAATGCAAACCCCGGCAGCAACAGATGCAAACTTACCCCTTTCGGGCCATAGTGCGGGGAATCTCGTGACTGGCCGAGCACGTCACCGCGGGCGGCTTTTGAGGAGGGCAGTTTTAATTGCACCCTAAATGTGTCTATATCTGATTGATATACTCCCTAGCTACAGAATATCTATTTATACTGAAGAACGATATTGATGTTGAAAATTATAGTAATACTTTTCTAGTTCCCCTATTTCCTGGATCACTCTCAATTCTGTCAACTATCCTTTCTCATGTTCCCCGTCTCGAGGTACCTACGGTACTTAGAGTGCCAATAGTATCACGGCAATTACCGATTCTCGGTCGAGAGTCGGCGGCACAGACTGATCACCCGCCCCAATTTGAGTCACCGCCAAATCCCTAAATGGCGTGATCACAGCAGAGCC